TAGGTGGTTGTCACGCCCGGAGCCGGATCCGCCTCCGAGGCGGAATGCCCACCCGGCCCCTACCCTGTTAAGTAAAGCTTGTGCGGTCGGAGTCCGCACCTTTGGGGGGGGTACTGTCACGCCCTGACTCTGGGGACTCTTATTTGTTGAGTCAGGGTGTGATTTTCTATGTTGTATTTTCTATGTTTGTGATCTAGGTTTTGTAGTTCTATATTTGGCCGGGTGTGTTTCCCAATCAGAGGCAGCTGTCGCTCGTTGTCTCTGATTGGGGAGCATACTTTGGCAGCCTATTGGCAATTAGGCGTTGTGGGATCTTGTTCCGTGTGAGGTTTGTTGTGTGTCACGTTTCGTTGGTTTATTGTTTTGTCGTTGTTTATTAAGTTTTTAAAATAAACATGTATGCATATCACGCTGCGCCTTGGTCTGACCCGTCTATGAACGAACGTGACACTATCACAGTGCCATCCGTTTTGTCACCAAAGCCCCATATACTACCCACCACTGTGACCTGTACACTCTTGTTGGCTGTTCCTCACTACATATTTGTCGCCAAACCCACTGGCTCCAGGCCATATATAAATCACTGCTAGGTAAATCTCTGCCTTATCTTAGCTCATTGGTCACCATAGCAACACCCATCCGTAGTATGCGCTCCAGCAGGTATATCTCACTGGTCATCCCCAAAGCCAACACCTCCTTTGGCCGCCATTCCATACAGTTCTCTGCTGCCAATGACTGGAACGAACTGCAAAAATCTCTGAAGCTGGATACTCTTATCTCCCTCACAAACTTTAAGCATCAGTTGTCAGAGCACCTTACCGATCACTGCACCTGTACACAGCCCATCTGAAATTAGCCCACACAACTACCTCATCCCCATATTGTTATTTATTTGGCTCATTTGCACCCCAGTATCTCTATTTGCACATCAACTCTTGCACATCTATCATTCCAGTGTTAATACTAATTGTAATTATTTTGCACTATGGCCTATTTATTGCCTTACCTCCATAACTTGCTACATTTGCACACACTGTATATATATTTTCTGTTGTATTTTTGACTTTATGTTTTGTTTTACCCCATATGTAACTCTGTGTTGTTGTTTTTATCGCACTGCTTTGATTTATCTTGGCCAGGTCGCAGTTGTAAATGAGAACTTGTTCTCAACTGGCTTACCTGGTTAAATAAAGGTGAAATAAAAAATCAAATAAAAATGTGACTTCTGAAGGTAATTGGTTGCACCAGATCTTATTTAGGGGCTTCATAGCAAAGGGGTGAATACATATGCACGCACCACTTTTCCGTTATTAATTTTTTAGAATTTTGAAAAATAAGTTATTTTTTTCATTTCACTTCATCAATATGGACTATTTTGTGTATGTCCATGACATGAAATCCAAATAAAAATCAATTTACAGGTTGTAATGCAACAAAATAGGAAAAACGCCAAAGGGGATGCATACTTTTGCAAGGTACTGTATCTGCAAAAACTCTGTTTGCTGGAAACACATCTCTGGTGGTAAAATGTGCATATTGTTTTATGCAGATTTGAGAATATTTGCATGAAAATCTGTCGCAAATTGGATGGAAACCTAGCTACTGGCAGCATTATTTCAGTTGCTCTGCATAAGTGTCTGTCTGCTACAGTAAACAACTTCTCTCCATTAACGTCTGCATGCTTATGAACTCTGCGGCCAACAAGGCAGAGTTCATCTCAGCCTATGCTACCCTCCAGTCCCTCGACTTCTTGGCGCTGACGGAAACATGGATTACCACAGAAAACACTGCTACTCCTACTGCTCTTTCCTCGTCTGATCATTTGTTCTCGCATACCCCGAGAGCATCTGGTCAGCGCGGCGGTGGCACAGGAATCCTCATCTCTCCCAAGTGGACATTCTCTCTTTCCCCCTGACCCATCTATCTCCTCATTTGAATTCCATGCTGTCACAGTCACTAGCCCATTCAAGCTTAACATCCTTATCATTTATCGCCCTCCAGGTTCCCTTGGAGAGTTCATCAATGAGCTTGACGCCTTGATAAATTCCTTTCCTGAGGATGGCTCACCCCTCACAGTTCTGGGTGACTTTAACCTCCCTACGTCTGCCTTTGACTCATTTCTCGCTGCCTCCTTTTTTCCACTCCTTTCCTCTTTTGACCTCACCCTCTCACCGTCCCCCCCCCCCCCTACTCACAAGGCAGGCAATACGCTTGACCTCATCTTTACTAGATGCTGTTCTTCTACTAATCTCACTGCAACTCCCCTCCAAGTCTCTGACCACTACTTTGTATCCTTTTCTCTCTCGCTCTCCTCCAACACTACTCACTCTGCCCCTACTCAGATGGTAATGTGCCATCGCAACCTTCGCTCTCTCCTCTTCCATCCTATCATCTCTTCCCTCTGCTAAATCCTTCTCCCTCCGATCTCCTGATTCTGCCTCCTCAACCCTCCTCTCCTCCCTTTCTGCATCTTTTGACTCTCTATGTCCCCTATCCTCCCGGCCGGCTCGGTCCTCCCCTCCTGCTCCATGTCTTGATGACTCATTGCGAGCTCACAGAAGAGGGTTCCGGGCAGCTGAGCGGAAATGGAGGAAAACTAGACTCCCTGCGGACCTGTCATCTTTTCACTCCCTCCTCCACTCCCTACATTCTCTTCCTCTGTTTCTGCTGCTAAAGCCACTTTTTACCACTCAAAATGTCAAGCCTCTGCCTCTAACCCCAGGGAGCTCTTTGCCACCTTCTCCTCCCTGCTGAATCCTCCTCCTCCTCCTCCTCCTCCTCCTCCTCCTCCCCCTCCTCCTCCCTCTCTGTGGATGACTTCATCAACCATTTTGAAAAGAAGGTTGACAACATCCGATCCTCATTTATTAAGTCAAATGTCACCGCTGGTCCTGCTCACACTGCCCTACCCTATGCTTTGACTTCTTTCTCCCCTCTCTCTCCAGATGAAATCTTGCGACTTGTGACGGCCCAGCAACCTGCCCGCTTGACCCTATCCCCTCCTCTCTTTTCCGGAGACCTTCTCCCTTACCTCATCTCGCTCATGAACTCATCCTTGACCGCTGGCCATGTCCCTTCCATCTTCAAGAGAGCGAGAGTTGCACCCCTCCTCAAAAAACCTACACTCGATCCCTCCGATGTCAACAACTACAGACCAGTATCCCTTCTTTCTTTTCTCTCCAAAACTCTTGAGCGTGCCGTCTCTAGCCAACTCTACTGCTATCTCTCTCAGAATGACCTTCTTGATCCAAACCAGTCAGGATTCAAGACTGGTCATTCAACTGAGACTGCTCTTCTCTGTGTCACGGAAGCTCTCCGCACTGCTAAAGCTAACTCTCTCTCCTCTGCTCTTATCTTTCTAGACATATCTGCTGCCTTTGATACTGTGAACCATCAGATCCTCCTCTCCGAGTTGGGCATCTCCGGCGCTGCTCACTCTTGGATTGCGTCCTACCTGACAGGTCTCTCCTACCAGGTGGCGTGGCGAGAATCTGTCTCCGCACCACGTGCTCTCACCACTGGTGTCCGCCAGGGCTCAGTTCTAGGCCCTCTCCTATTCTCTCTATACACCAAGTCACTTGGCTCTGTCATATCCTCACATGGTCTCTCCTATCATTGCTACGCAGACGACACACAATTCATTTTCTCCTTTCCCACTTCTGATAACCAGGTGGCGAATCGCATCTCTGCATGTCAAATTGAACCTCGGCAAGATGGAGCTGCTCTTCCTCCCGGGGAAGGACTGCCCGCTCCATGATCTCGCCATCACGGTTGACAGCTCCATTGTGTCCTCCTCCCAGAGTGCAAAGAACCTTGGCGTGACCCTGGACAACACCCTGTCGTTCTCCGCTAACATCAAAGCGGTGCTGCAGGTTCATGCTCTACAACATTCGCAGAGTACGACCCTACCTTACACAGAAAGCAGCACAGGTCCTAATCCAGGCACTTGTCATCTCCCGTCTGGATTACTGCAACTCGCTGTTGGCTGGGCTCCCTGCCTGTGCCATTAAACCCCTACAACTTATCCAGAACGCTGCAGCCCGTCTGATGTTCAACCTTCCCAAGTTCTCTCATGTCACCCCACTCCTCCGCACACTCCACTGGCTTCCAGTTGAGGCTCGCATCTACTACAAGACCAAGGTGCTTGCCTACGGATCTGTGAGGGGAACGGCACCTCCTTACCTTCAGTTGATCATAAGTTGAATGCACCAATTTGTAAGTCGCTCTGGATAAGAGTGTGTGCTAAATGACGTAAATGTTATGGGACAGTCCCGTCTCTCCAGACTGATCTTCTCTCCACTCTCTATCTCCTCTGGGAGTGACTAGGGAACAGAATGGGCCTGCTAAAGAGATTATAAACAGACAGACAGACATAGGAGAAGATCTGATTGGTGGTCAGTTCAGGACTGGGACTCCTCTGGGGTTAATCTTCAGACAGAGGAAGAAGGATGTCCTGCTGCTGGCCTCTACTTCTCATTCCTCTAGTTTCTGTTGCTTGTGATTTTATTGACTCACTCTGTTCCTCTTTCCTCCTCTTTCCTCCTCCTTCTCTCTTTCTTCTTTCCTCCTCTCCTTGCCACTTGACCTCCCGAGTGGCGCAGTGGTCTAAGGCACTGCATCGCAGTGCTAGCTGTGCCACTAGAGGTCCTGGTTCAAATCCAGGCTCTGTCGTAGCCGGCCGCAACCGGGAGACCCATGGGGCGGTGCACAATTGGCCCAGCGTCATCCAGGGTAGGGGAGGGAATGGCCGGCAGGGATGTAGCTCAGTTGGTAGAGCATGGCACTTGCAACGCCAGGTTTGTGGGTTTGATTCCCACGGGGGCCAGTATGAAAAAATAATGCATGCACTCACTAACTGTAAGTCGCTCTGGATAAGAGCGTCTGCTAAATTACAAAAAATGTAAATGTCATCCTTTCTGTTCATCTGTCTCCTCTCCTCTCCCCCTCCAGGTAGTCGCCCCACGGTACAGTATGTATCCACTCTGTGTGAGCTGCCCCAGGCCCTGCAACCCTATTATACCCAGGGCTATGTCCTCACCACCCTGCATCCCATCATCCTTTCTGTTGGACGTACACGCTCCCTGCCCTTCAGCCTGCTTTACCGAGCCATACTCGCCCGACCACGACCCAGGTACCAGACACACACACACACACACAGGAGCTGCTTCTCCAGGTAGAAATTGCCCCATTTCTAGAATCAGTTTGAACCATTAGGAAGGTAAAACACAGACTGACCTGAAATCTGTGTCTAGGCCTAAGTCGTCACAACAACCCCTAAAGGTGTCCACATGCTTCCCAGATGAAACAGTTCGGAAGAGTTCGTGCATATATTATGGGGACATTTTTGTTCGTTTTGGACATCGGTGAGGGTTTTTTCAGCTGTTCGGGGACACACATTATTTTCTGGAGGCAAGCTGAAGTTCGGAGCCGAAGTCTACGCTTCTTTGTCGGTGATTGGTCAACAGTAGGGTTTCTCCAATAAAATATTTGTTGTCATTCAGTGTTAATCGACTCGTTTTCATGCAAATTCTTTCATTGAGAACTGCACCAAACATCTTAGTTAGATGTCAAATTGCGCGACTAAGATCTCCTCAGCAAAAGGGTAAACATTTATGACAGATTTCTTGAGTTATCTCAGGTTAATTCTGGCTATTTTGGGGAAGTGTATACTGGTTACGGCGTCTCAAAATGGACAAACAGTACTATTGCCACTTTTTTCTCATTTTTCAAGCGAAGGGAGTATGCGAGCACACTCGTTCGGTTTGCTAGCCGCCAGCCGAACTGAAGCATGCTGACGCCTTTACCCCCCACCATCCCTTAATGTATCTGAGCTCAGCATTGAAACAAGCCACCCAGACTTATACATTTACATTTTAGTCATTTAGCAGACGCTCTTAACCAGAGCGACTTACAGGAGCAATTAGGGTTAAGTGCCTTGCTCAAGGGCACATTAACGTCATTTAGCAGACGCTCTTAGCCAGAGCGACTCACAAATTGGTGCGTTCACCCTATAGCCAGTGGGATAACCACTTTACAATTTGGGGGGGGGGGGGGGGGGGGGGGGGGGGGGTTAGAAGGAATACTTTAGCCTATCCCAGGTATTCCTTAAAGAGGTGGGGTTTCAAATGTCTCCGGAAGGTGGTGAGTGACTCCGCTGTCCTGGCGTCGTGAGGGAGCTTGTTCCACCATTGGGGTGCCAGAGCAGCGAACAGTTTTGACTGGGCTGAGCGGGAGCTGTGCTTCCGCAGAGGAAGGGGAGCCAGCAGGCCAGAGGTGGATGAACGCAATGTCCTCGTTTGGGTGTAGGGACTGATCAGAGCCTGAAGGTACAGGGGTGCCGTTCCCCTCACTGCTCCAAAGGCAAGCACCATGGTCTTGTAGCGGATGCGAGCTTCAATTGGAAGCCAGTGGAGTGTGCGGAGGAGGGGGGTGACGTGAGAGAACTTGGGAAGGTTGAACACCAGACGGGCTGCGGCATTCTGGATGAGTTGTAGGGGTTTAATGGCACAGGCAGGGAGCCCAGCCAACAGCGAGTTGCAGTAGTCCAGACGGGAGATGACAAGTGCCTGGACCAGGACCTGCGCCGCTTCCTGTGTAAGGCAGGGTCGCACTCTCCGAATGTTGTAGAGCATGAACCTGCAGGAGCGGGTCACCGCCTTGATGTTGGCGGAGAACGACAGGGTGTTGTCCAGGGTCACGCCTAGGCTCTTCGCACTCTGGGAGGAGGACACAGCGGAGTTGTCTACCGTGATGGCGAGATCATGGAACGGGCAGTCCTTCCCCGGGAGGAAGAGCAGCTCCGTCTTGCCAGGGTTCAGCTTGAGGTGGTGATCCGTCATCCATACTGATATGTCTGCCAGACATGCAGAGATGCGATTCGCCACCTGGTTATCAGAAGGGGGAAAGGAGAAGATTAGTTGTGTATCGTCAGCGTAGCAATGATAGGAAAGGCCATGTGAGGATATGACAGAGCCAAGTGACTTGGTGTATAGGGAGAAAAGGAGAGGGCCCAAAACCGATCCCTGGGGGACACCAGTGGTGAGAGCACGTGGTGCGGAGACAGCTTCCCGCCACGCCACTTGGTAGGAGCGACCGGTCAGGTAGGACGCAATCCAGGAGTGAGCCGCGCCGGAGATTCCCATTTCGGAGAGGGTGGAGAGGAGGATCTGATGGTTCACAGTATCAAAGGCAGCAGACAGGTCTAGAAGGACAAGAGCAGAGGAGAGAGAGTTAGCTTTAGCAGTGCGGAGAGTCTCTGTGACACAGAGAAGAGCAGTCTCAGTTGAATGACCAGTCCTGAAACCTGATTGGTTTGGATCAAGAAGGTCATTCTGAGAGAGATAGCAAGAGAGTTGGCTAAAGACGGCACGCTCAATAGTTTTGGAAAGAAAAGAAAGAAGGGATACTGGTCTGTAGTTGTTGACATCAGTGGGGTCGAGTGTTGGTTTTTTGAGAAGGGGAGTAACTCTCGCTCTCTTGAAGACGGAAGGGACATGGCCAGCGGTCAAGGATGAGTTGATCAGCGAGGTGAGGTAGGGGAGAAGGTCACCGGAGATGGTCTGGAGAAGGGAGGAGGGGATGGGGTCAAGCGGGCAGGTTGTTGGGCGGCCTGCAGTCACAAGTCGCAGGATCTTATCTGGAGAGAGAGGGGAGAAAGAAGTCAAAGCATAGGGTAGGGCAGTGTGAGCAGGACCAGCAGTGTCATTAGACTTAACAAACAAGGATCGGATGTCGTCAACCTTCTTTTCAAAGTGGTTGACGAAGTCATCCACAGAGAGAGAGGAGGGGGGGGGGGGGGGGAGGGAGGATTCAGGAGGGAGGAAAATGTGGCAAAGAGCTTCCTAGGGTTAGAGGCAGATGCTTGGAATTTAGAGTGGTAGAAGGTGGCCTTAGCAGCAGAAACAGATGAAGAAAATGTAGAGAGGAGGGAGTGAAAAGATGCCAGGTCGGCAGGGAATTTAGTTTTCTTCCATTTCCGCTCCGCTGCCCGGAGCTCTGTTCTGTGAGCTCGCAATGAGTCATCAAGCCACGGAGCTGGAGGGGAGGACCGAGCCGGCCGGGAGGATAGGGGACACAGAGAGTCAAAGGATGCAGAAAGGGAGGAGAGGAGGGTTGAGGAGGCAGAATCAGGAGATTGGAGGGAGAAGGATTGAGCAGAGGGAAGAGATGATAGGATGGAAGAGGAGAGAGTAGTGGGAGAGAGAGAGCGAAGGTTGCGGCGGCGCATTACCATCTGTGTAAGGGCAGAGTGAGTAGTGTGGGAGGAGAGTGAGAGAGAAAAGGAAACAAAGTAGTGGTCGGAGACTTGGAGGGGAGTTGCAGTGAGATTAGTAGAGGAGCAGCATCTAGTGAAGATGAGGTCAAGCGTATTGCCTGCCTTGTGAGTAGGGGGGGACGGTGAGAGGGTGAGGTCAAAAGAGGAGAGGAGTGGAAAGAAGGAGGCAGAGAGAAATGAGTCAAATGTGGACATAGGGAGGTTGAAATCCCCCAAAACTGTGAGGGGTGAGCCATCCTCAGGGAAGGAACTTATCAAGGCGTCAAGCTCATTGATGAACTCTCCAAGGGAACCTGGAGGGCGATAGATGACAAGGATATTAAGCTTAAATGGGCTAGTGACTGTGACAGCATGGAATTCAAATGAGGAGATAGACAGATGGGTTAGGGGAAAAATTGAGAATGTCCACTTGGGAGAGATGAGGATTCCTGTACCACCACCCCTCTGACCAGATGCTCTCGGGGTATGCGAGAACACATGGTCAGACGAGGAGAGAGCAGTAGGAGTAGCGGTGTTTTCAGTGGTGATCCATGTTTCCGTCAGCGCCAGGAAGTCGAGGGACTGGAGGTTGGCATAGGCTGGGATGAAGTCAGCTTTGTTGGCAGCAGAACGGCAGTTCCAGAGGCTGCCTGCGACCTGGAACTCCACGTGGGTGGTGCGTGCAGGGACCACCAGATTGGAGAGGCAGCAGCCACGCGGTGTGGTGCGTTTGTGTAGCCTGTGCAGAGAGGAGAGAACAGGGATAGGCAGAGGCATAGTTGACAGGCTGTAGCAAATGGCTACAAAAATGCAGAGGAGATCGGAATGAAATGGGCTAAGCATCTGGGAGTGGAGAGAGCAGGGCCTCCCTCACCAAAACTTCTACCTCGGAAACTAAAATTGTTTCACTGAACCACCCGAAGAAAAAACTCTCCCAACTTCCGCCTTTGGAAATCAGAATTGTTGTGAACCACAGCGGTTCAATGTTTAAAGGAGTAGACTCAACCCACTTTGTTCAGCTAGCCAACTATGACTCCATAGCCAACTAGCAGACTAGCATCCAATAACAATAACACACCGTTTAGCGCCAACACTTGGTCACAACAAACCACCAATATTGTGATAACACACTAAACAGATCATTCGTGTCTGTGTCAAGTTCCTTACATGACGCAGCAATGATTAGACGTTGGCTAGCTAGGACAAGTAAATTGTGGTTAGCTACTTCAGTACAGCCAAATGGTCATGTTGGGTAGCTAGCAATGGCCACTGTGTCGACTCTGTTTGAAGAACGGCTAGCTAGCTAGCTTCGTGCTACAGCTGGCACGGCCGAGGACACTGCCAAGACACAGTAACTACCCACAACAACCCACGAAGCCTAGCTATGACGCCGTAGCCAACCTGCAAGCTAGCATCCATTAACACACAACTTAGCATCAACACCTGGCCACAACAAACTGCCAAGAGTGTGTCAGCACACCAAACAGACAATTCAAGTCCGTGTCGAGTTCCCTTCACAACGCAGCAAAAAATAATAATAATAATAATAATAATAATAATTAAACGTTGGAACCAGCTCTCCAGCGTTGCTAATCGTTACCAATAGCTACCCGCTAGCTAGCTAGCTTCGTGCCTCAATTCTAACCCACAATTACCCACGGAAAGCTACAATAACAACAATACTAACCTACAATAAATACAATACCTAACTACAGCTAACTACCTACCTACGATCTAGTACATGGTTAAGCAAAAGTTAAACGTTGGGTAGGAGTACATTACCGTTGGAACCAGCTCTCCAGCGTTGCTAATCGTTACCAATAGCTACCCGCTAGCTAGCTAGCCTCGTGCCTCGATACTAATCCACAATTACCTATGGAAAGCTACTACAACCACAATACTAACCTACAATAAATTCAATACCTAACTACAGCTAGCTACCTACCTACGATCTAATACATGGTTAAGCAAAAGTTAAACGTTGGGTAGGAGTACATTACCGTTGGAACCAGCTCTCCAGCGTTGCTAATCGTTACCAATAGCTACCCGCTAGCTAGCTAGCCTCATGCCTCGATACTAACCCACAAATTACCCACGGAAAGCTACAATAACAACAATACTAACCTACAATAAATACAATACCTAACTACAGCTAACTACCTACCTACGATCTAATACATGGTTAAGCTTTACTCAACACTACATGTAGCTTACCCCTACTTACCTCCAGCCAGAGAAAAACACGTCCTCTCCCGTGGTAGATGGGTTAGGGGAAAAATTGAGAATGTCCACTTGGGAGAGATGAGGATTCCTGTACCACCACCCCTCTGACCAGATGCTCTCGGGGTATGCGAGAACACATGGTCAGACGAGGAGAGAGCAGTAGGAGTAGCGGTGTTTTCAGTGGTGATCCATGTTTCCGTCAGCGCCAGGAAGTCGAGGGACTGGAGGTTGGCATAGGCTGGGATGAAGTCAGCTTTGTTGGCAGCAGAACGGCAGTTCCAGAGGCTGCCTGCGACCTGGAACTCCACGTGGGTGGTGCGTGCAGGGACCACCAGATTGGAGAGGCAGCAGCCACGCGGTGTGGTGCGTTTGTGTAGCCTGTGCAGAGAGGAGAGAACAGGGATAGGCAGAGGCATAGTTGACAGGCTGTAGCAAATGGCTACAAAAATGCAGAGGAGATCGGAATGAAATGGGCTAAGCATCTGGGAGTGGAGAGAGCAGGGCCTCCCTCACCAAAACTTCTACCTCGGAAACTAAAATTGTTTCACTGAACCACCCGAAGAAAAAACTCTCCCAACTTCCGCCTTTGGAAATCAGAATTGTTGTGAACCACAGCGGTTCAATGTTTAAAGGAGTAGACTCAACCCACTTTGTTCAGCTAGCCAACTATGACTCCATAGCCAACTAGCAGACTAGCATCCAATAACAATAACACACCGTTTAGCGCCAACACTTGGTCACAACAAACCACCAATATTGTGATAACACACTAAACAGATCATTCGTGTCTGTGTCAAGTTCCTTACATGACGCAGCAATGATTAGACGTTGGCTAGCTAGGACAAGTAAATTGTGGTTAGCTACTTCAGTACAGCCAAATGGTCATGTTGGGTAGCTAGCAATGGCCACTGTGTCGACTCTGTTTGAAGAACGGCTAGCTAGCTAGCTTCGTGCTACAGCTGGCACGGCCGAGGACACTGCCAAGACACAGTAACTACCCACAACAACCCACGAAGCCTAGCTATGACGCCGTAGCCAACCTGCAAGCTAGCATCCATTAACACACAACTTAGCATCAACACCTGGCCACAACAAACTGCCAAGAGTGTGTCAGCACACCAAACAGACAATTCAAGTCCGTGTCGAGTTCCCTTCACAACGCAGCAAAAAAATAAAATAATAATAATAATAATAATTAAACGTTGGAACCAGCTCTCCAGCGTTGCTAATCGTTACCAATAGCTACCCGCTAGCTAGCTAGCTTCGTGCCTCAATTCTAACCCACAATTACCCACGGAAAGCTACAATAACAACAATACTAACCTACAATAAATACAATACCTAACTACAGCTAACTACCTACCTACGATCTAGTACATGGTTAAGCAAAAGTTAAACGTTGGGTAGGAGTACATTACCGTTGGAACCAGCTCTCCAGCGTTGCTAATCGTTACCAATAGCTACCCGCTAGCTAGCTAGCCTCGTGCCTCGATACTAATCCACAATTACCTATGGAAAGCTACTACAACCACAATACTAACCTACAATAAATTCAATACCTAACTACAGCTAGCTACCTACCTACGATCTAATACATGGTTAAGCAAAAGTTAAACGTTGGGTAGGAGTACATTACCGTTGGAACCAGCTCTCCAGCGTTGCTAATCGTTACCAATAGCTACCCGCTAGCTAGCTAGCCTCATGCCTCGATACTAACCCACAAATTACCCACGGAAAGCTACAATAACAACAATACTAACCTACAATAAATACAATACCTAACTACAGCTAACTACCTACCTACGATCTAATACATGGTTAAGCTTTACTCAACACTACATGTAGCTTACCCCTACTTACCTCCAGCCAGAGAAAAACACGTCCTCTCCCGTGGTAGCAGGGTTATCCCAGCCAACCTGGGAAATATATGAATGATAGATGTAGCTGCATATTGAATGCAAAGTCAGTGGGAGGTCAGACTGCTGTTTAAGAAGGAAGGGCGGGGGGAGACTCCTGGAGAGGATGTTTTGGGGGGCTCTCAGCTTCAGGGGCTGCCATTGGGTAGAAATGTACCCTGACAACAACATATCTCTCAATAGGGTTGCAGAGCCTCACACATGGTGCCCCCTGTGTTATTGTCATACCTGTAATATTATTATATTTAATTAATATAATTAAAATATAAAGGTGTTTTATTTTAATATGTATATACTACAGTATATACACTACCTATTTGGAATGGTTGTTTATCCTTTATGTAATGCTTAGAAAGTAGTCGTCATCTCATTAATGATTTATAAGTTTTGTGCAAACATTGACAAAAACAAATCAAGTATGAACTCTCCAGCTGGATAGGGCTCAGTAGCGTGATACCATTTACCAAACTAATCCATACAGATCTTTACAGCCATCAGAGTAGCTAACAGTCAAAACACATGAATGACGAATGAATGACCTGTATGCCGCTTGTGATAATCAGTGATTAACAGTTTGAACCTGACTGAATATCTGTCTCTTTTCATTTCTTTTATTTTATGTTCTCTCCTCTCTTCTCTGTCTCCTAGCAAGCAGGCGGTGTCCATGTGTCACAGTGTTCCGGTGTTGAGGGTGGAGGAGTGGCCTATCCCAGGAGAGTCCCTGACGGTGGACACTGTTAGAGCACTCATTGACAGGGTGAACAGTAGTGCCCGGGGGGGCGTGAGGTTTGTGGGCTCGGTGCTCCAGCAGGCTGGAGGAGGGGGCAGTAACGGTAAGGTGCCTAGCCCCAGGAGGGGCTGCCGATCCCTCCCACGCACCCCTCCATGTACCCCTCCTGGAGATGGAGACAGAGACCTGGAGGAGCACAGCCCTACCTACAGCCCTGGTGAGATTCTTGTTTTCTTTCCTTTTCTCGTCCCGTGTCTCCTCTTCTCTCCTTTCCTCTTCTCTCCTTTCCTCTTCTCTCCTTTCCTTTCCTCTTCTCTCCTTTCCTTTCCTCTTCTCTCCTTTCCTCTTCTCTCCTTTCCTTTCCTCTTCTCTCCTTTCCTCTTCTCTTCTCTCCTTTCCTTTCCTTTCCTCTTCTTGTCTTTCCTCTCCTCCTCTTTTCTGTTCTCATCTTTCCTCAGCTCTCAGGCTTCCACTTTCTCATGACTTGGAAGGATGGCAATGTGAGACTACTTCTCTCCTCATCTGTCTCCTCCCCTGAACAATGTTGACATGTGGGTTGTGATGTCAGTGTAGTTCAGTTGAACTCTGTGTTGTGTGGCCTTTCCTGCCCCAGGGCTATCTGTCAGAGATAACCCTCACCCACCAAGCAGGGCACAACTCCTCACTACAGAGACAACCATACAGACTGACATGTCTTTGTCCTAAGCAGAGCAAGTTGAGTTCGTTATAGTTCCCATAACCTCATTGAATGTGTTTTATCTCTGCATCTTCTTTCTTCTCCTCCGTGATGGCTAGAACTGGCAGATTGAACTGACTCTCTCTCTCTCCCTCTCTCCCCCCCCCCCCCCTCCATCTCTCCCTCCCTCCCCCCCCCCCCTCCATCTCTCCCTCCTCCCCCTGTCTCCCTCCTCCCCCTCTCTCTCAGACCTGAGGTTGCTGGTGTTTTTCCACTCGTGGGCACCAGGCTGTGCTCCGCTGGACGCTCTGGCCTGCCAGTACCACCAGGGGGCGCTGTCCATGCGCGTTTCCAGGAAGGGTCAAATGGTCAGCGGGCTGGAGGCCGATTGGCTGGAGCTGACTGCAGCCTACTACCGTAAAGGCTGGTCATTGGTGGACTCGTTTGTGTACTGGGACACACCCAAAGGTACTGTCAAATACAAAGATATAGAGAGACTTCTAAGGTGGATGTAAGATTAATGTACATCAGTGACATCTTGCTTAGGAGTTGTAAGGCCTCCTCATCTTCTTCCTCCTCTCCCTCCCTCTTCTCCCACTGTGGCTATATTTGGAGCTCTCTTCCCAACCTGGCTTCCTGTTCCGCCATAGACTGGCAGCATAAAATCCACATAATTTGTAGACATCTGGGGCCTGAGAATATAGCACACGGGGGTCTGTCGCTCTCTCACACACAGCCTATTGCTTCATGTCTTTAACTACCTCATTGTCATTCCAATGACATACTTTCAGTACTGACTAGAATTCACTGCCTCATGTAGAGCATTGTTCACATTGCAGTTCAGCAGCTATGTTAAGGTATCTGGTGATGCACGTCTGTCCACCGATTGCATTCGTGTAACTCATAGCTTATGTATGATTTAATGTTTTCTGGTTGATATGCATTGTGTGTTGATACACTGAACAAAAATGTAAACGCAACAAGTAAAGTGTTGGTCCCATGTTTCATGAGCTGAAATAAAAGCACAAAAAGCTTATTTCTCTCAAATGTTGTGCACAAATGTGTTTACGTCCCTGTTAGTGAGCATTTCTCCTTTGCCAAGATAATCCATCCACCTGACAGGTGTGGCATATCAAGAAGCTATTAAACAGCATGATCATTACACAGGTGCCACAGATGTCTCAAATTTTGAGGGAGCGTGCAGTTATTAATTCCGCTATGCCCTCAGACAACCCATCAAACAGGTAAAGCATCAATACAGGACTAAGATTGAATCCTACTACACCGGCTCTGATGATTGTTGGATGTGGCAGGGCTTGCAAACTATTACTTCAAAGGGAAACCCAGCCGCGAGCTGCCTAGTGACCAGACGGGCTAAATGCCTTTTATGCTCGCTTCGAGGCAAGTAACACAGAAGCATGCATGAGAGCACCAGCTGTTCCGGACGACTGTGTGATCACACTCTCCATAGACGATGTGAGCAAGACCTTTAAACAGGTCAACATTCAACCTCTCCCTGACCGTGTCTGTAATACCTACATGTTTCAAGCAGACCACCATAGTCCCTGTGCCCAAGAACGCCAAGGTAACCTGCCTAAATGACTACCGACCTGTAGCACTCATGTCTGTAGCCATGAAGTGCTTTGAAAAGCTGGTCATGGCTCACATCAACACCATCATCCCGGAAACCCTAGACCCACTCCAATTCACATACCGCCCCAACAGATCCACAGATGACGCAATCTCAATTGCACTCCACACTGCCCTTTCCCAGCTTAACAAATGTGACAGGTGGGAAATGTGAGAATGCTGTTCATTGACTACAGCTCAGCGTTCAACACCATAGTGTCCTCAAAGCTCATCACTAAGCTAAGGACCCTGGGACTAAACACCTCTCTCTGCAACTGGATCCTGGACTTCCTGACGGGCCGCCCCCAGGTGGTAAGGGTAGGCAACAACACATCTGCCACGCTGATCCTCAACACTGGGGCCTCTCAGGGGTATGTGCTTAGTCCCCTCCTGTACTGCTTATTTACCCATGACTGCATGGCCAAGCACGACTCCAACACCATCATTAAGTTTGCTGATGACACAAAAGTGGTAGGCCTGATTACCGACAACGATGAGACAGCCTATAGGGAGGTGGTCAGAGACCTGGCAGTGTGGTGCCAGGACAACAACGTGAGCAAGAAAAAGGAGCTGATCGTGGACTACAGGAAAAGGAGGGCCGAAAACACGCCCCCATTCACATCGGCAGGGCTGTAGTGGAGCGGTAGAGAGCTTCAAGTTCCTTGGTGTCCACATCACCAACAAACTATCATGGTCCAAACACACTAAGACAGTCGTGAAGAGGGCACGACAACGCCTATTCCCCCTCTGGAGACTGAAAAGATTTAGCATGGGTCCCCAGATCCTCAAAAAGTTATACAGCTGCACCATCGAGAGCCTACTGACCGGTTGCATCACTGCCTGGTATGGCAACTGCTCGGCATCTGACCGTAAGGTGCTACAGAGGGTATTGCGTATGGCCCAGTACATCACTGGGGCCAAGCTTCCTGCCATCCAAGACCTCTATACTAGGCGGTGTCAGAGGAAGGCCCTTAAAATTCTCAGACTCCAGTCACCCAAGTCATAGACTGTTCTCTCTGCTACCGCACGGTACCGCAGCACCAAGTCTAGGTCCAAAAGGCTCCTTAACAGCTTCTACTCCCCAAGCCATAAGACTGCTGAACAATTAATCAAATGGCTACCCAGACTATTTGCATTGACCCCCACACACTGCTGCTACTCGCTGTTTATTATCAATGCATAGTTACATGTCCCTACCTACATGTACATATTACCTCAATTACCTCGACTAACCTGTAACCCTGCACATTGACTCGGTACCGGTACCCTGTGTATATAGCCTTGTTATTTTTATTGTATGTCTTTTTTTACTTTAGTTTATTTAGGAAATATTTTCTTAACTCTTATTTTCTTAACAGCATTGTTGGTTAAGGGTAAGCATTGGTGGTCCTCTGTAGCTAAATTGGTAGAGCATGGTGCTTGTAACGCCAGGGTAGTGGGTTCGATCCCCGGGACCACCCATACGTAAAAATGTATGCACACATGACTGTAAGTCGCTTTGGATTAAAGCGTCTGCTAAATGGAATATTATTATATTATTATTTCACGGTTGTTGTATTCGGTGCATGTGACAAATAAAAATGTGATTTGATTTGACTGTAGGAATGTCCACCAGAGCTGTTGCCAGAGAATATCATGGTAATTTCTCTAACATAAGACGCCTCCAAATTCGTTTTAGACAATTTGGCAGTACGTCCAACCGGCCTCACATCCGCAGACGACTTGTATGGCGTCGTGTGGGCGAGCGGTTTGCTGATGTCAACGTTGTGAACAGAGTGCCCCATGGTGCCGGTGGGGTAATGGTATGGGCAGGCATAAGCTACGGACAATGAACACAATTGCATTTTATCGATGGCAATTTGAATGCACAGAGATACCGTGACGAGATCCTGAGGTCCATTGTCGTGCCATTTATCCGCCGCCATCACCTCATGTTTCAGCATGATAATGCACAGCCCCATGTCGCAAGGATCTGTACACAATTCCTGGAAGCTGAAAATGGCCCAGTTTTTTCCATGGCCTGCATACTCACCAGACATGTCACCCATTGAGCATGTTTGGGATGCTCTGGATTGATGTGTACGACAGCGTGTTCCAGTTCCCACCAATATCCAGCAACTTCGCACAGCCTCTGAAGAGGAGTGGGACAACATTCCACAGGCCACAATCAACAGCCTGATCAACTCTATGCAGGAGATGTGTAGCGCTGTATGAGGCAAATGGTGGTCACACCAGATACTGACTGGCTTTCTGATCCATGCCCCTACTTTTTTTTTAAAGGTATCTGTGACCAACATATGCATATCTGTATTCCCAGTCACTGTAAGTCGAGCGTCTGCTAAATGACTAAAATGTAAATGTAAATGTAATGTGAAATCCATAGATTAGGGCCTAATTTATTTATTTAAACTGACTGATTTCCTTATATGAACTGTAACTCAGTAAAATCTTGGAAATTGTTTCATGTTGCATTTATATTTTTGTTCAGTATAGTTTGCTGACTGATGGTCTGTCTGTGTGTGTGTGTGTGTTGTGTTGTGTTGTGTTGTCAGGTGAGCCCGTGCCCAGGTCCCTAGAGGGGCTGTTTGTCTATGAAGAGAGAAGTACTGCCCCTCCTGCCAACGACACTATCGTAGTGGAGCAGTGGACCGTCATCGAGGTAAGAGAGCCGTGTGTGTGCATGCGTTACGTCTTACCTGAGTGTGTGAGTGTCAGCCAGTGAGGACAGGTGAATGTGTTGCAGTAGGTATTCGCTAGAGAAGATCCTGTAAGGAGAGAGAGGTTAGCATTACGTCTGTGTGTGTGGGGGGAGAGAGAGGTTAGCATTACGTCTGTGTGTGTGTGGGGAGAGAGAGGTTAGCATTACGTCTGTGTGTGTGTGGGGGAGAGAGAGGTTAGCATTACGTCTGTGTGTGTGTGGGGAGAGAGAGGTTAGCATTATGTCTGTGTGTGTTGGGGGGGAGAGAGGTTAGCATTACGTCTGTGTGTGTGTGGGGAGAGAGAGATTAGCATTATGTTTGTGTGTGTGGGGAGAGATTAGCATTGTGTGTGGGGGGGATTAGCATTATGTCTGTGTGTGGGGGGGAGAGATTAGCATTACGTCTGTGTGTGGGGGGAGAGATTAGCATTATGTCTGTGTGTGGGGGGGAGAGATTAGCATTATGTCTGTGTGTGGGGGGGAGAGATTAGCATTATGTCTGAGTGTGGGGGGAAAGATTAGCATTATGTCTGTGTGTGGGGGGGGAGAGATTAGCATTATGTCTGTGTGGGGGGAGAGAGAGATTAGCATTATGTCTGTGTGTGGGGGGAGAGAGAGATTAGCATTATGTTTGTGTGTGGGGGGGAGAGATTAGCATTATGTCTGTGTGTGGGGGGGGAGAGATTAACATTATGTTTGTGTGTGTGGGGAGGGATTAGCATTGTGTGTGGGGGGGATTAGCATTACGTCTGTGTGTGGGGGGGAGAGATTAGCATTATGTATGTGTGTGGGGGGGGAGAGATTAGCATTATGTCTGTGTGTGGGGGGGAGAGATTAGCATTATGTTTGTGTGTGTGGGGAGAGATTAGCATTGTGTGTGGGGGGGATTAGCATTACGTCTGTGTGTGGGGGGGAGAGATTAGCATTATGTCTGTGTGTGGGGTGAGAGATTAGCATTATGTCTGTGTGTGGGGGGGGGGGAGATTAGCATAGTGTGTGTGGGGGGGGCTTAGCATTATGTCTGTGTGTGTGTGTGTGGGGGGGGAGATTAGCATCATGTCTGTGTGTGTGGGGGAGATATTAGCATCATGTCTGTGTGGGGGGGGGGGGGGGGGATTAGCATTATGTCTGTGTGGGGGGGGAGAGATTAGAATAGTGTGTGTGGGGGGGATTAACATTATGTCTGTGTGTGGGGGGGAGAGATTAGCATCATGTCTGTGTGTGGGGGGGAGAGATTAGCATAGTGTGTGTGGGGGGGCTTAGCATTATGTCTGTGTGTGTGTGTGTGGGGGGGGGGGGGGAGATATTAGCATCATGTCTGTGTGTGGGGGGAGATATTAGCATCACGTCTGTGTGTGTGGTGGAGATATTAGCATCATGTCTGTGTGTGGGGGGGAGATATTAACATTATGTCTGTGTGTGGGGGGTAGAGATTAGCATCATGTCTGTGTGTGTGGGGGAGAGATTAGCATTATGTCTGTGTTTGGGGGAGAGATTAGCATTATGTCTGTGTGTGTGGGGGGGGGCGATTAGCATCATGTCTGTGTGTGTGGGGGAGAGATTAGCATCATGTGTGTGGGGGGGAGAGATTAGCATCATGTCTGTGTGTGTGGGGGAGAGATTAGCATCGTGTGTGTGGGGGGGAGAGATTAGCATCATGTCTGTGTGTGTGGGGGAGATATTAGCATCATGTCTGTGTGTGGGGGGGAGAGATTAGCATTATGTCTGTGGTTGGGGGGGTGAAGAGAGATTAGCATTTTGTCTGTGTGCGTGGGGGAGAGATTAGCATCTTGTCTATGTGTGTGGGGGAGAGATTAGCATTATGTCTGTGTGGGGGGGAGGGATTAGCATTATGTCTGTGTGTGTGGGGGAGAGATTAGCATTATGTGTGTGTGTGGGGGGGAGAGATTAGCATCATGTCTGTGTGTGTGGGGGAGAGATTAGCATTATGTCTGTGTGTGTGGGGGGGGAGAGATTAGCATCATGTCTGTGTGTGGGGGAGAGAGATTAGCATTGTATGTGTGTGGTGGGGGGGAGAGATTAGCATCATGTCTGTGTGTGTGTGGAGAGATTAGCATTGTGTGTGGGGGGGAGATTAGCATTGTGTGTGGGGGGGAGAGATTAGCATTATGTCTGTGTGTGGAGAGATTACCATCATGTCTGTGTGTGTGGGGGAAAGATTAGCATCATGTCTGTGTGTGTGTGGGGGGGAGATTAGCATTGTGTGGGGGAGAGATTAGCATCATGTCTGTGTGTGGGGGGGAGAGAGATTAGCATCATGTCTGTGTGGGGGGGAGAGAGATTAGCATTGTATGTGTGTGGTGGGGGGAAGAGATTAGCATTCTGTCTGTGTGGGGGGGAGAGAGATTAGCATTCTGTCTGTGTGGGTGGGGGAGAGAGATTAGCATTGTGTGTGTGTGGAGAGATTAGCATTGTGTGTGGGGGGGAGATTAGCATTGTGTGTGGGGGGAGAGATTAGCATTATGTCTGTGTGTGGAGAGATTACCATCATGTCTGTGTGTGTGTGTGGGGGGGAGATTAGCATAATGTCTGTGTGTGTGTGGGGGCGGGGAGAGAGATTAGCATCTGTACGCGTGTGAAAGTAAAACAGAGCTCAAACAACTAGTGGTGGTGAATGACCTCATTCACATGTGACTTAATGTGTGCCAACAACCCTAATCGTAACACTAGAAGATGGATAAACAACTGTAGAAAACATTCAACAATTACCTCTATCCAGTGTGTGACGATTACCTCTATCCAGTGTGTGACGATTACCTCTATCCAGTGTGTGACAACATTGTTGTGCTGTGTAGGGTTCTGATGTGAAGACCGATTATGGGCCACTCCTTCACACACTGGCTGAGTTCGGCTGGCTGCTCACCTGTGTCCTGCCCACACATATCATCCGCCATGACCGGTAACACACATAATTGATGGAGATTTTGATATTAATGTTGTTGGACCAGTCTTGGCTCAAGTCTCTGTACTCATTGATGCACTCAAGGGATGAACCTGACATGGCACTTTAATGTTTTGTGTGTTGCCTGATGGTCCTTCTCAGAACAAAGGTGTCAATTTTGTAGCCCGGGTCATCATGCCTTATATGACTGTTTTCCTTCATAAACTCTTGTAATGTTGTGTGTGTTTGTCTAGTGATGGTAACCTGGCAACCAAGCAGGTGGTGTTCCTACAGAGACCAATCAAGACCTCTTCAATACCACAGAGGAACCATGTGAGGGCTTGGTTTCATTTAGAACGAAATACTACAACAGGAAAGCTGCTATTTGTGACAATACTGCTCCCCTGTGGACGTTTTTATGATAAAGGGAAGTGGAAAATGAAAGCAAAGTGAGATGTAGCAGTATCATACAAATCAATGAATTGTATTAAATTGCTACACTATCATGCCTAAACTTAACCTTAAACACGCAACTTTAAAATTTGACGTTTGAGAAACATGGATGAACGTCTAATTCTGAAGTGAGGGCTAGTTGCCATTACACACATCTGTGCTGCATTAGATATGCGTGTTGCTTTTACAATATATTTTTATGACCTCTGACTATATGCACAATGTTTAGCGTTACTGCATTGAAAAGTCACCGTCACAGGGACATGCTAGCCTCTTCCTCTCTGATCCTCCCCTCTCTGTCCTCTCCCAGGCGGGGTCCATTCAGAGGGACGTGTCCACTCGCTCTGTGAGTCAAGGTGTGGGCGGCCCCCTAACACCCCCCACTGTGGAGCTGTCCCCCACCGCTGGGGGTATCGGGGGGTTCCCTGTTTTCGGAGGGGGGTACCCCAGCGCCCTGTCCCACCTAGAGGAGGGGGGCTTCGAGCACGACGACGGGGCGGCAGAGGTCACCTGCATGTGACCCCTGAAATGGACACACACACACACACACACAGATTATATACATTCCCCATCTATCCCTCTAATCGCTTCCATAACCAAGAAGACCATAGATTAGAAAGCAAAACTTGGCACTTTCTGTTTTTTTTATTATTATGAAGCCATATTTACCATTTTGAGATGGTGTTATTTCCATTTTTATAAATTTTGTTGGGAAAAGCAAGCCGTCTATATTCACTGATGTTGAGACACTTTTGTTCATACCATCACAAATACGCACTTATAAATCCAGATTCACACATCACATCGTTCACACACCACCTTTTCATATGAGAAAGAACATGCATTCACACATAACTGTGACTAGCACAAAGCGCAGGACATCTCCACAGTGACCAGGGGAACCAGGAAGTACCTTCCATGTAGACACACACAGACCACTGGACTGAACTCTGTGACCAACGACACACCTGGATGTTGGAACAACGTGTCCCCATGTTTTTGTGCTCAAGTCTGTTGTTCATTGATCTGTATTTTTAAATATTTTTTATTCATTGGCATCAGGACCTATTCTATTCCTGCACCTATTGTGTCATAAGAAATAGCTGGTAGTTATTTTATCATAGCCACATGGTACTGGTTATCAGGCCTCAATTGTTTCATTCTGCCCAGTGATGATTCCTTTCCTCAGTTCTTCAGACAAAAGCCCTATTGTGTTACTAAGGGAGATGACTGTGACATTTGTTTTATAATACTATTAAAGTGAAACAACAAAGGGTTTGTTGTATAAGAGAACACCATGATGATGTACATATCGTAGATGTTAACAAAAAGTATCACTAGAGATGGACCTTTTTAGTTACACAGAATACAAGTTTATGAGCCCCCTTGTTTTGGGGATGGCAAAACAAATCAGTATTATTTACCAGTTGCAGTGTTTTCATTTGAGAATTTGTAATATTTTGCTTCCTTTTGTCATCGGTGTTGATATTTTATTAAACAGCTATTTCTCCTCGTTCCTCTGTGTCCAGTTGTATTCTCCGCTTTAGAAAAACACTGGCCATGATTTCCTCACATTTACTGACCAATTATTTACTTTTAAGCACTTGGCAGCTAGGCTAAATGGAATAGAGGCCATGGACAGGACAAGTTCATTCTTGACAGTTCCAGCGGTGGCCCCACACTCACATCTGCCACCTTAACCTTCTTCATCCAGGTGTTGAGAGGTGTAAACCTCTCAAATATTCCCATTACTTTTACAAGCTGCATTTAAAAATTAAGTCATACCAGATGAGGCCAAATTATACAAAGGGATAGTTTTTTGGGTCAACAAGAAAACGGTAATAGTCCTTTTTTATTAAGACATGGAAATGTCCACAGTAACAAAATGTAGTTCTTTAAAGGAAAATAAAAAGTTGGGCGGATCGACAAGACTCCTCCCACAAAATAACTTAAGGATGAGGGGGAGGGAGGGTAAAGGGTGAAGGTGGTGTGTACTCAGAGCAACACAAGCATAGAGGGATTCTGAACCACAAATGGACCCCTAACCTCTAAACCCTAGGCACACCTGTAAACTTGAGGAGTGGATACAGATAAGCATTATGGTCATAGCTTCATCTTGCCTTTCAATGGGTTTCGTGGAAATGTCTGCATATTTTTGCACCTATCCAAGCCTCTCAGATCTACAGGAGTGGCAAGGAGTCTATTTCGAATTCAGTGAGAGAACAAAAGCAACAGGGAGAGATAAAGCAAAGGTGAAGCACCAGCAAAGACCTGATAGGGGGGGGCGGACAACGACATGGGACAGCAGGGGTAATATACTGGAAGACCATAAGGGTGTGCCTTTGTCATCAACACATACGGTGGGGAAAAAAGTATTTAGTCAGCCACCAATTGTGCAAGTTCTCCCACTTAAAATGAGATGAGAGAGGCCTGTAATTTTCATCATAGGTACATGTCAACTATGACAGACAAATTGAGAGAAAAAATTCCAGAAAATCACATTGTAGGATTTTTAATGAATTTATTTGCAAATTATGGTGGAAAATAAGTATTTGGTCACCTACAAACAAGCAAGATTTCTGGCTCTCACAGACCTGTAACCCTGTGGGGTCAAAATGATCACAAGAACGGTGAGCAAAAATCCCAGAACCACACGGGGGGACCTAGTGAATGACCTGCAGAGAGCTGGGACCAAAGTAACAAAGCCTACCATCAGTAACACACTACGCCGCCAGGGACTCAAATCCTGCAGTGCAAGACTTGTCCCCCTGCTTAAGCCAGTACATGTCCAGGCCCGTCTGAAGTTTGCTAGAGTGCATTTGGATGATCCAGAAGAGGATTGGGAGAATGTCATATGGTCAGATGAAACCAAAATAGAACTTTTTGGTAAAAACTCAACTCGTCGTGTTTGGAGGACAAAGAATGCTGAGTTGCATCCAAAGAACACCATACCTACTGTGAAGCATGGGGGTGGAAACATCATGCTTTGGGGCTGTTTTTCTGCAAAGGGACCAGGACGACTGATCTGTGTAAAGGAAAGAATGAATGGGGCCATGTATCGTGAGATTTTGAGTGAAAACCTCCTTCCATCAGCAAGGGCATTGAAGATTAAACGTGGCTGGGTCTTTCAGCATGACAATGATCCCAAACACACCGCCCGGGCAACGAAGGAGTGGCTTCGTAAGAAGCATTTCAAGGTCCTGGAGTGGCCTAGCCAGTCTCCAGATCTCAACCCCATAGAAAATCTTTGGAGGGAGTTGAAAGTCTGTGTTGCCCAGCGACAGCCCCAAAACATCACTGCTCTAGAGGAGATCTGCATGGAGGAATGGGCCAAAATACCAGCAACAGTGTGTGAAAACCTTGTGAAGACTTACAGAAAACATTGACCTGTGTCATTGCCAACAAAGGGTATATAACAAAGTATTGAGAAACTTTTGTTATTGACCAAATACTTATTTTCCACCATAATTTGCAAATAAATTCATTACAAATCCTACAATGTGATTTTCTGGATATTTTTTTCTCATTTTGTCTGTCATAGTTGACGTGTACCTATGATGCAAATTACAGGCCTCTCTCATCTTTTTAAGTGGGAGAACTTGCACAATTGGTGGCTGACTAAATACTTTTTTCCCCAACTGTATTATGGTTTAATGTAGCTTTTGTAAATCCAGCTGCTCCAAAGGTTAAAGCAACGTTCCCCTACAGAGTAGTGAGAGACTGTAGCTTTTCAAATACTTTGAGCGTTTGCTATAGCCTGCCTGGAGTGCCAGGTGGGCGGGGTTTGCACTTGTGGGACTCTCATTGGTTTCATTGCAACAGGCAAGCTCAATCAAGCAGTATTTGACTCTAGTATTTGAACTCCCGTCTGGTCTCCTGTGTGCAGCTCTCCTCTCAGGCCTCGCTCTCCCCAGCTGAGGCGTTCTGGACCTCCTCCTCCAAGATAGGTACAATCAGGTTGTCCTTGGACATCAGGTTGTACTTCATCACGAAGCGCGTGAACCGATGGCACAGGAACGTCTCGTTCTACAGGGAAGGAAAGAGGAGAAACCAGAGGATGAGAGTTGGGCCTGGTCCAGAAACAACCTCTAGCCTCTACCCCTAGACACTAAACACAGAGGAGAAACCAGAGGATGAGTTGGGCCTGGTCCAGAAACAACCTCTAGCCTCTTCCCCTAGACACTAAACACAGAGGAGAAACCAGAGGATGAGTTGGGCCTGGTCCAGAAACAACCTCTAGCCTCTACCCCTAGGCACTAAACACAGAGGAGAAACCAGAGGATGAGTTGGGCCTGGTCCAGAAACAACCTCTAGCCTCTACCCCTAGACACTAAACACAGAGGAGAAACCAGAGGATGAGTTGGGCCTGGTCCAGAAACAACCTCTAACCTCTACCCCTAGACACTAAACACAGAGGAGAAACCAGAGGATGAAGTCTGAGGTCTGATGCACTAGTTTAGAGGCTGACTGACCATTTACTATAGAGCCTGTCACAGCCGTGATTTGTCATGAAGTAAATCATGTCTGGAACGCAGCTAATAAGCATCAAGGATCAGAACTAACCGTTGTATGTAGAGCCATAGCTTTGGTCTGCTTGGAGTCATCACATGGGTGAACTCCACTGAGCATGAGTTCAGTAGACCATGAAGTGACCATTATGGATATGCCCAGGTCCCAGACTCTATTCAGCTCTAGTAACGACAACATACAGTATCAGTTCAGTGTTTCCCTATTGTCTAGGTCTGTAGTGCCACCTGTTGTCTGAATATGGGACTACTACAAAATGGAATATGACCATAGCTGGTTGGCCACATACGGAGAATAAAAGAGTTGGTAATCATTCTCATCAATTCCTGCTCAATCTGTTGCACATCTGGTGTGGGTAAGTGCATTATATTTTCTAATTCAAACAAGCAAAAAAGCAATGAATGTCCCAGTGAAGCTTTACTGTCATTTTCCATTTGTATGAGGAGCCCAAATCATACCTCACTGCCAAGTCTATTTTGGAAGTGTGAACCTTCAACTTACCTCATACTTGTCAAATATCTGGCGATGGTGGAAGTAAGCATGGGAGAATATCCTATAGATCCGGCGACACACAGAGCCTAGCTTGGCCACTGAGGACTCCTTGATGCTCACACTGGGGAGGGAAGATTGAAAGCGTATGAGTGGGGAACCAAAGTACTCCTTTACATAGAGTGTGTGTGTGTGTGTGTGTGTGTGTACTCACCGGCTGGGGAAATATTTGTTGCTGTTGAGAAGGCAGGCAGCTCCGTCCAGCGTGTGCCTGGTGTAGTCAATGGCAGGGCACTGTGGACCCAAGCACAGGCAACTTAAATATAATGCATTGCAGGCTGGGCTGAAAAATGTGAATTGAATTCAATCAAATGTATTTTATAAAGCCCTTTTTACATCAGCAGTTGTCATAAAGTCCTATACAGAAACAGAGCCTAAAACCCCAAAGATCAAGCAATGCAGATGTAGAAGCACAGTGGGTAGGAAAAACTCCCTAGAAAAGGCAGGAACATAGGAAGAAACCTAGAGAGGAACCTGGCTCTGAGGGGTGGCCAGTCTTCTTCTGGCAGTGCCGGGTGGAGATTATGAGAGTACATGACCATTAAGGCCCAACCGTTCTTCAAGACGTTCTGAATTCTGATTTTAGTAACAGACCTCTTTGGGGGTCTTGTGTGCAGCACACAGGAAGATCCACTGTTCTGTGGCGGTCATCTGGGTGCAGGTCTCTGGGTGGCACTCACTCTGCAGTTTCACAGCTAGTCCATTCAGCTCCAGACAAAATTGCCTGTATCAGATGGAAGAACAGTAGACACAGACTGAGTCAACACACCCACACGGAGTAAGGTTTTTGATCTCAGTGTAGTGTGTGTAGTGCAGAGTCAAGAGTGAGTAGTGCAGTCAAGAGTGTGCAGTGCAGAGTCAAGAGTGAGTAGTGCAGAGTCAAGAGTGTGCAGTGCAGAGTCAAGAGTGGGTGGTGCAGAGTCTAGAGTGGGTGGTGCAGAGTCTAGAGTGGGTAGTGCAGAGTCTAGAGTGGGTGGTGCAGAGTCTAGAGTGGGTGGTGCAGAGTCTAGAGTGTGTAGTGCAGAGTCTAGAGTGGGTGGTGCAGAGTCTAGAGTGGGTGGTGCAGAGTCAAGAGTGGGTGGTGCAGAGTCAAGAGTGGGTGGTGCAGAGTCAAGAGTGGGTGGTGCAGAGTCTAGAGTGGGTGGTGCAGAGTCTAGAGTGGGTGGTGCAGAGTCTAGAGTGAGTAGTGCAGAGTCTAGAGTGTGTAGTGCAGAGTCAAGAGTGGGTGGTGCAGAGTCTAGAGTGGGTGGTGCAGAGTCTAGAGTGAGTAGTGCAGAGTCAAGAGTGTGTAGTGCAGAGTCTAGAGTGGGTGGTGCAGAGTCTAGAGTGGGTGGTGCAGAGTCTAGAGTGAGTAGTACAGAGTCAAGAGTGTGTAGTGCAGAGTCTAGAGTGTGTAGTGCAGAGTCTAGAGTGTGTAGTGCAGAGTCTAGTGTGTAGTGCAGAGTCTAGAGTGTGTAGTGCAGAGTCTAGTGTGTAGTGCAGAGTCTAGTGTGTAGTGCAGAGTCTAGTGTGAAGTGCAGCTACTGTACCTGAGGTGCTCATACTTCCACACCCCCTCGTCCTGTCCCTCTGGTGGCTCCAGGATCTTATCGATACTGGAGCAGTCTGACCGGATGTTCTGCTGAATGTACTGAACAAGGGACAGGGGAGGCACTGAGGTTAGTGATCAGAACATCTTGCCATCATCCCCCTAGCTAGCTAAAATAAATAGCTTCTGACATGGGTGACAATGATCACACTAGTCAACCATTAATAGATGAGATGCTTTGTAGTGATGGGTTCTGACCTATAAACTTCAAACATCCTTAATCATGTCACAGAGGGAGAGAGAGGAATATAGGATGTGTACATACTGTCAGAACATGTTATTGTTAGACATCAGGGATCCTATGGGAAGGAGTGGGGCCACAGACTGGTACAAGTCAACAGGACAGCTATGAGTGGGGAGGATTGAGGAATGCGGGCTAAGGTCAGGTCAGATGAAGTGAGAAAGAACAGTCACCACTAAAGTTCTGGCTGGCAACAGATGTATTGGCTGACCATATGTGTGAGGAGGAGACTCCGCATAGGAAGGGTTAAATACCAGTGCTTGTGTGAATATGTTTTTTGTCTTATGCAGCTGTTTGACCCTTTGGGAGAATAAACTTGGTTTGAGCTTTAACAATCGTCCGTGAGTTTTACTCGGTTCGTTTAGAACCTAACAGTAGGTTTATAGGGCAGCAGGCAGCCATCTTAAAATAAGGTAGAGCTTGTCACCGTCAGGCTTGGCACTTGACAGCTATGAACAGCATTCTGCAATCATAACACTTAAGGCTAATTTGAAGCTCAAAATGGACTCCACAGTTATTCCCCACTAGCTAACTCAACCACACCTGTTGTACAGCCAGCGTGCTGTCCATCTCCTCAAAGGATTCATCCGGCCAGTTGTAGAAATCCTGCAGTGAGAGAGGGAGGGATAATCATATTCAGTGCATGTGTGGCTATGGCTCAAAGGGCAAAATAGTGTCACCTCTCAGCCTTTCATATTTCATCTAACTAGACAGACGGTCTCTTCACATTACCCAAGTCCAGAACAGACTCTAGGAAACACACAATACTACATAGAGCGATGACTACATGGAACTCTTCCACATCAAGTAAGCGTGCAGTAAAATCAGATTTAAAAAACTGATAAAACAACACCTCACAGCAGACACGCTAACACACACATTGTAATAATAATTGTATATCAGTGGAGGCTCCTCAGTGGAGGGGGAGTTTCATTTGATTTTTTTTACATTAAGAATTGTTGATCAAACAATACTAAATAGTTTGTAAGAAAGGAATTTCGCTGTGCTTTTGACATTAAAACTTGAAACATATTCATGTCACCAAATAATTGATTAAAACACACTGTTTTGCTTTGAAGGTCTACAGTAGCCTCATCAGCACTCTGTAGGGTAGCACCATGGTGTTGCTGGAGGACAGCTAGTTTCTGTCCTCCTCTGGGTACATTGACTTCAATACAAAACCTAGGAGGCTCATGGTTCTCACCACCTTCCATAGACTTATACAGTAATTATGACAACTTCCGGACGTCCTCCAACCTATCTAGCTAGCACTGCAGTGCATAAAATGTGGTGAGTAGTTGACTCAAAGAGAGAGAAAGACAATAGTTGAACAGTTTTGAACAAATTAATTTCTTCAAAAATGAAGGAGACGCAAGGAGAGAGGTAGCTATATTTCTTGTTGTATTTGTTTCACTTTCTTAGCTAGTGAATGCAGCTAGCTAGTAGTTTTGCCTACTCAAAACACCCAGCTCAAACAGAGAGGGATGCTATGTTAGCTAGCTGGCTATGGCTATCCAACACCGGAACTCTTCCAAGTCAAGGTAAGCTTTTGGTTTATGAATTTATTGACACCAGTCCAGGGCCCGCTGGTGTAACTGCTAAACTGCTTGCTGACTGTACACTGTACTGCATGATTGTAGCGGGTTTACTAAAGCGTTAGTTCTAGTAGCTTTCTTGACTATGACGTTAGCTAATATGGTGACAACGATGTAGGCTGTGTGCAGCGGTTAGCGATTATGATATGAAGGTTTGGCTTGGAAAGGTTTTTCGCCTGGTCACAGACAGCTGATTTGTTGTGCACTGAAGTCCACAAGCGAAGGGAAAATGCGAGAGGAGCGCACGTAAATGCACTACAAAGTGATAATGCTGTTTGTATGTGGCTGCTATGAATGTGAACTGTGTTCGAATGTGATCAGGGGTGTATTCATTCTGCCGATTCTGTTGAAAAACGTTTCTTAAAACGGAAGCAAATACAACGAAACGGGGATGAATACACCTGAATTTGTTGAATAGAAACTCTCATTTGCAACTGTTGGACTAATGATTAGACCCTAGATCAGCTAGATACAGACAAGAGTGTGCAAGGCGATATTAAATGTGTCACTGTCTGTCACCTTGATTACTCCAATTTTTATCATCTCGACCTGTGCACCTGTTGTAAACTTTCATTCATAGTCTAGGTTGTAGCAACCTCATGATGGGTATAGGGAAAATCCAAGTATATTGTGTAGTAACCTAGCTAAACCTATCGATGTTACATTGAGCTGGGTGAATGGAATATGAATGGCAGTCATCCAATATGCTGTAATAGAAATAAAGGCCATGCTCATAAAAATAGTGTCCTCCCTCATCTTACTGTTGTATATTATACATTTGTAATAGAGTAATAATGTATTGCATGATCTATTGTTTTATTAATGAAGTAGCCTGTTGCGTTTTGTTGTGATGTAGCTACTTAATTATTTTAAATCTGTATGGACCCCAGGAAGAGTAGTAATGGGGATCCTAATATAAAAATATATATACTGTATATAGCTAGCTACATTAGTTACTGGTTAGCTAGCTAGCTAGTGACATTGGACACGTATTAGTATAATTACACAAACAATTACCGTTACTTGGGTTGATAGCTAGTTGATGGAAAATAATATGACGTTAGCCAGCTAGCTAAAGTACAGTAGCTTTAGACTACAGGTCATGAACCAGTATGAAAAAAATGTATGCACTGACTAACTTTAAGTCACTCTGGATAAGAGCGTCTGCTAAAATGACTAAAAAAATGAACAGTTAGCCATGAACAGTTATCCATCTGCTAGCCCCGGCCCGCTAGCACACGCTAGCCGTGGCCTCTTGCTCGCTAGTGCTTTAGCAGCCCCCGATCTACCTCCGAACTATCCTATTGCTGTTCACCGGACCTTATGATAACTCAGCTATACAACTGATGCCTGCTGGACTGTTCCTTTTTACGGTACCGCATCCTGTTTATGTTTAGCCTCAGCCCAAACTGTGTCGTCATTACCAGCTGTTGTCTTAGCTCTCTCAAATTACACCTGTGATTGCTTTATGCCTCTCTCCCATGTCAATATGGTTTGCTTATTGCTGTTTCGGTTATTTCTAATTGTACTATTTCACTGTAGATCCCCCAGCCCAGCTAAACCTGTCTTAGATAGCTCCTTTGTCTCACCCCCCATACACGCGGAGACCGACTCAATCAGTGCCTCCAGTGATGCTATCTCTTTCATTGTTACCCAACGCTTAGGTTTACCTCCACTTTACTCATATCCTTCCATATCCTTGTCTGTACATAATGCCCTGAATCTTTTCTACAACGCCCGGAAATCTGCCCCCTTTATTCTATGTACCCAACGCACTAGAAGACCAGTTCTTAAAGCCTTTAGCCGTATCCTTATTCTAGTCCTCCTCTGTTCCTCTAGTGATGTAGAGGCTAACCCAGGCCCTGCAGCCCTCAGTATCACTCCTACTCCCCAGGCGCTATCATTTGTTGACTTCTGTAATCGCAAAAGCCTTGGTTTCTTGCATGTTAATATCAGAAGTCTACTTCCTAAGTTTGAGTTATTCACTGCGTTAGCACACTCCGCCAACCCTGATGTTCTAGCAGTGTCTGAATCCTGGCTTAGGAAGGCCACCAAAAATTCTGACATTTCCATCCCCAACTATGACATTTTCCGTCTAGATAGAACTGCCAAAGGGGGTGGAGTTGCAATCTACTGTAGAGATAGCCTGCAGAGCTCTATTATACTATCCAGGTCTGTGCCCAAACAGTTTGAGTTTCTACTTCTAAAAATCCACCTTTCCAGAAATAAGTCTCTCACTGTTGCCGCTTGCTACAGACCCCCCTCAGCCCCCAGCTGTGCCCTGGACACCATATGTGAATTGATTGCCCCCCATTTATCCTCAGAGTTCGTACTGCTTGGTGACCTAAATTGGGATATGCTTAACACCCCGGCCATCCTACAATCCAAACTAGATGCCCTCAATCTCACACAAACTATCAACGAACCAACCAGGTACAACCCTAAATCCATAAACATGGGTACCCTCATAGATATCATCCTGACTAACTTACCCTCTAAATACACCTCCGCTGTCTTCAACCAGGATCTCAGCGATCACTGCCTTATTGCCTGCGTCCGTAACGGGTACGCGGTCAAACGACCACCCCTCATCACTGTCAAACTCTCCCTAAAACACTTTAGCGAGCAGGCCTTCCTAATTGACCTGGCCCAGGTATCCTGGATGGATATAGATCTCATTCCGTCAGTAGAGGATGCCTGGTTGTTCTTTAAAAGTAATTTCCTCTCAATCTTAAATAAACATGCCCCATTCAAAAAATACAGAACTAAGAACAGATTTAGCCCCTGGTTCTCCTCAGACTTGACTGCCCTTGACCAGCACAAAAACATCCTGTGGCGTACTGCATTAGCATCAAATAGCCCCCGCGATATGCAACTTTTCAGGGAAGTTAGGAACCAATATACACAAGCAGTTAGGAAAGCAAAGGCTAACTTTTTCAAACAGAAATTTGCATCCTGTAGCACTAACTCCAAAAAGTTTTTGGACACTGTAAAGTCCATGGAGAATAAGAGCACTTCCTCCCAGCTGCCCACTGCACTGAGGCTAGGAAACACTATCACCACCGATAAATCTACAATAATCGAGAATTTCAACAAGCATTTTGCTACGGCTGGCCATGCTTTCCACCTGGCTACCACTACCCCGGCCACCAACTCTGCACCCTCAGCTGAAACTTACCCATGCCCCCCCCAAAATCTGGACCTGTGCACTTCAGCCACGCTCAAGGTCCTAAACGATATTATAACCGCGATCGATAATAGACAGTACTGTGCAGCCGTCTTCATCGACCTGGCCAAGGCTTTCGACTCGGTCAACCACCGCATTCTTATTGGCAGACTAAATAGCCTTGGTTTCTCAAATGACTGCCTCGCCTGGTTCACCAACTACTTCTCAGATAGAGTTCAATGTGTCAAATCGGAGGGCCTGTTGTCTGGACCTATGGCAGTCTCTATGGGGGTGCCACAGGGTTTAATTCTTGGGCCGACTCTTTTCTCTGTGTATATCAATGATGTCGCTCTTGCTGCTGGTGACTCTCAGATCCACCTCTACGCAGACGACACCATTTTGTATACATCTGGCCCTTCATTGGACACTGTGTTAACAAACCTCCAAACGAGCTTCAATGCCATACAACACTCCTTCAGTAGCCTCCAACTGCTCTTAAACACTAGTAAAACTAAATGCATGCTCTTCAATCAAACGCTGCTGGCACCCGCCCACCCGACTAGAATCACTACTCTCGACGGGTCTGACCTAGAGTATGTGGACAACTACAAATACCTAGGTGTCTGGTTAGACTGTAAACTCTCCTTCCAGACTCACATTAAGAATCTCCAATCCAAAGTTAAATCTAGAATCGGCTTCCTATTTCGCAACAAAGCCTCCTTCACTCATGCTGCCAAACATGCCCTCGTAAAACTGACAATCCTACCGATCCTTGACTTCGGCGATGTCATTTACAAAATGGCCTCCAACACTCTACTCAGCAAATTGGATGTAGTCTATCACAGTGCCATCCGTTTTGTCTCCAAAGCCCCATACACTACCCACCACTGTGACCTGTACGCTCTTGTTGGCTGGTCCTCACTACATGTTCGTCGTCAAACCCACTGGCTCCAGGCCATCTATAAATCAATGCTAGGCAAATCCCGCCTTATCTTAGCTCATTGGTCACTATAGCAGCACCCACCCGTAGTCTGCACTCCAGCAGGTATATCTCACTGGTCATCCCCAAAGCCAACACCTCCTTTGGCCGCCATTCCTTCCAGTTCTCTGCTGCCAATGACTGGAACGAATTGCAAAAATCTCTGAAGCTGGAGACTCTTCTCTCCCTCACTAACTTTAAGCATCAGTTGTCAGAGCACCTTACCGATCACTGCACCTGTACACAGCCCATCTGAAATTAGCCCACCCAACTACCTCATCCCTATATTGTTATTTATTTTTGCTATTTTGCACCCCAGTATCTCTATTTGCACATAATCTCTTGCACATCTAGCATTCCAGTGTTAATACTAATTGTAATTATTTTGCACTATAGCCTATTTATTGCCTTACCTCCATAACTTGCTACATTTGCACACACTGTATATATATTTTCTGTTGTATTTTTTGACTTTATGTTTTGTTTTACCCCGTATGTAAGTCTGTGTTGTTGTTTTTATCGCACTGCTTTGCTTTATCTTGGCCAGGTCGCAGTTGTAAATGAGAACTTGTTCTCAACTGGCTTACCTGGTTAAATAAAGGTGAATATATATATATATATATTTTTTTATGTCAAAATAGCTCGCTAACAATTACTAACGGTAGCTAGCTACTGTAGCTAGATAATATGTCAACAATTACAGCTATTAGCCAACTTAGATATCTAGCTAACGTAAACTAGATTAGCTAGCTAGTTACTAGCTAGCTAGCAACAATAAAGTGGTTTTCAGATGGTGTCCATATTTTTGTTTTAAGTCTAACTAGCTAGCAAGTCTCTAATTATCTGTGGTACATTTTAGCTTGCCAAGTTAGCTAACGCTAGCTAACGTTACCCAGTTGCAAGCCCGACTCTTCCTGTTTTTCGGAAGACAACTCCGAGTTAACCGTACAGAGAAACGACTCAAAACCCGAAATCTGAATGAAATGCACTGTTCCTGCAAGACCACCGTGGTCACCGTTGGTCTCTTTACCATATGCAATCGTATTCCGATTTGTGGAAACATACCTTCGCCTTGGTTCCAGGCCGATTCCTCCTCAGAACTGCAGTACCCTCCGCCATGACCATCTCGACAGAATGCCCGGATGCATATGATGCACAAATGCACTGACTTGTGTGTGACGGATTCACTGTATCAGGAGCGGGGACAGGGAGTTGCAAGGCTACCAAGCAGTGGACATTCCGCCAGAGATAGTGCCTTCGGAAAGTATTCAGACCCCTCGACTTTTTCCACATTTTGTTAGGTTACAGCCTTATTCTAAAAATGATGTAATAGTCCCCCCCCAATCGACACACTATACCCCATAATGACATAGCAAAAATAGTTTTGTATACATTTTTGCTAATTTATTACAATTCAAAACTGAAATATCACATTTACATAAGTATTCAGACCCTTAACTCAGTACTTTGTTGAAGCACCTTTGGCAGCGATTACAGCCTCGAGTCTTCTTGGGTATGATGCTACAAGCTTGGCACACCTGTATTTGGGGAGTTTCTCCCATTCTTCTCTGCAGATCCTCTCAAGCTTTTTCAGGTTTGATGGGGAGCGTTGCTGCACAGCTATTTTCAGGTCTCTCCAGAGATGTTCGATCAGGTTCAAGTCCGGGCTCTGGCTGAGCCACTCAAGGACTTTCAGAGACTTGTCCCAAAGCCACTCCTGCGTTGTCTTGGCTGTGTGCTTAGGGTAGTTGTCCTGTTGGAAGGTGAACCTTCACCCCAGTCTGAGGTCCTGAGCGCTCTGAAGCAGGTTTTCATCAAGGTTCTCTCTGTACTTTGCTTCATTCATCTTTGCCTCAATCCTGACTAGTCTCCCAGTCCCTGCCGCTAAAAAACATCCATACAGCATGACGCTGCCACCACCATGCTTCACCGTAGGTATGGTGCCAAGTTTCCTCCATACGTGACGCTTGGCATTCAGGCCAAAGAGTTCAATCTTGCTTTCATCAGACCAGAAAATCTTGTTTCTCATGGTCTGAGAGTCTTTAGGTGCCTTTTGGCAAACTCCAAGCAGGCTGTCATGTGCCTTTAACTGAGGAGTGGCTTCCGTCTGGTCACTCTACCATAAAGGCCTGATTGGTGGAGTGCTGCAGAGATGGTTGTCCTTCTGGAAGGTTCTCCCATCTCCACAGAGGAACTCTGGAGCTCTGTCATTATGACCATCAGGTTCTTGGTCACCTCCCTGGCCAAGGCCCTTCTCACCCGAATGCTCAGTTTGGCCGGGCGGCCAGCTCTAGGAAGAGTCTTGGTGGTCCCAAACTTCTTCCATTTAAGAATGATGGAGGCCAATGTGTTCTTGGGGACCTTCAATGCTGTATAAATGTTTTGCTACCCTTCCCCAGATCTATGCCTCGACACAATCCTGTCTCGGAACTCTACGGACAATTTCTTCGACCTCATGGCTTTGTTTTAGCCCTGAGCTGCACTGTCAACTGTGGGACCTTATATAGACAGGTGTGTGCCTTTCCAAATCATGTCCAATCAATTGAATTTACAACAGGTGGACTCCAATCAAGTTGTAGAAACAGCTCAAGGATGATCAATGGAAACAGGATGCACCTGAGCTCAATTTCGAGTCTCATAGTAAAGGGTCTGAATACTTATGTATTTATGTTTTTTGTTTTTAATAAATGTGCAAACATTTCTAAAAACCTATTTTTGCTTTGTCATTATGGGGTATTGAGTGTAGTCATTGTCCTGTTGAAAAACAAATTATAGTCCCACTAAGCCCAAACCAGATGGGATGGCGTATAGCTGCAGAATGCTGTGGTAGCCATGCTGGTTAAGTGTGCCTTGAAAAAAAAAAAAAAAAAGCACCCAGCAAAGCATCCCCACACCGTCACACCTCAACCCCATTCTTCACGGTGGGAAATACACATGCGGATATCATCCGTTCACCTACACTGCGTCTCACAAAGACACGGCGGTTGGAACCAAAAATATCAAATTTGGACTCCAGACCAAAGGACAGATTTCCACCGGTCTAATGTCCATTGCTCGTGTTTCATTTACCAAAACCAGTTCCTAATCAACTGGTACTTAATCAAAATCTTATGCAAATCTGATTTGTGGAAAGTTCATATGTATATTCAACTTGTCTTATTCTGAGTGTAGCATATGGGGGATCTGTGAAACTCACTCCTCAATATGAAGAGTCCCCACTTGCACATATAAAATCCTATTTTCATAGAATATCTGCTTGGGAGGAGTATGAAAGAGGCACATCTAGATTCAATAGTTCACTTTATTATTGTAACAAAACATGATCAGAATTATTTACAATTGAATAACAAAAAAGAAAAACTAAACGAGTCAACCTTCTCTATTAGAATGAATGGGGGTTACACAGCGAAAAGGACTATTCTACATATTTGCCAAGGATGTCAGCATCACGGAACAGGAAGTATTCCTGAAAAACAAATGTATGTAGAAATTGAAAGACAATTAGAAGAATCAATTGCTTTTACTGTGGTCATAATTATTGTAATTAATGAACATGTAGATTACTCCAACTAATCATTATATTTTTTAATTATATATTAGATAAGTATGATATACATTTTTCATTACATAGATAATATAACATTTCTAGACATACCTTGTCTTCCAGGTTGACTTTAGTTCCTCCGTACTCTGGCAGAAGGACCTTCTCTCCAATTTTGACACTCATGGGTGTCAGATATCCTTTCTGAATGAGATCAGTAGACAACACCGTTAGACACAACCATAGAGAATGATAAGAAGCCTCTAGTGGCCAAAAGCCGTTTTAGCATGGGCAGCGCCATTGAAGGCTTCCACCACGCTTCCGCCATTTTAAAGTAGTCAACTGGGTGGGGATTCCTATGGGTTGTAGCTCCAATGGCGCTGCACATGCTGTCACACGCTATAATGGCACATCTATAAAGATGAGTCCTCTATCTATCTCTATAGACACAAGCCAGAGCAGCAAGCTCTCACATAAAAAAATTGCTATATTGTATCAATGTGGTCCCTGAAGTTAAACACTTTAATCTCCCGGCATTGTGAAATCTGATTAACTGCACAGCAGACAGACAAGCCAGTTAGTTCGACAGCTCAGAGATAAGCTATTGATTAGCCGGAGAGAGTGAAACAGGAGCAGTAAGTTACCTGGTTGGTGGAGCCTGGTCCCACTGCCACCACTGTGGCCTGCAGCACCTTGCCCTGGGCCTTCTCTGGCAGCATAATGCCCCCCTTCGACATAGTCTCTGCAGCCAGACGCTCCACCAGCACCCGGTCAAACATGGGAAGGAATTTCCTGAAAGCCTATAAGATGAAGGGGAAGTATTTTATTTGACAGAGACAATGTACAACAAAACATTGCACTCTAACTGCAATTTTTTTTAAAATTGAAACTGATTTTAGCTACATAGCTCATTGGAGTTTGAGACAAGAGTTTTGGACTCTTCTACAGTGAGTGCTTGGCATGCAATGGTCATACCCTCAAATAGCCACCAGGTGGAGCCTGAGATCCATTGTGTGAACTGATAAAGACTTGAGTAACAAAAGCAGGAGGGGCCCAACACCGCAGCCCCTTAAATAGCCAAAAGGAAATGTGTTGTAGCCATCTTCCACTGAAATTAAGGACATTTTGGTGGACTATGTACATTGAAAAACCTTTGGTGTCTTCCAAGAGTTCTTGGTTTGGTAAGTTTGGTCAAGTTACCAACTAGGTATTCATAAACCTACTTACTACAGGTTAGAGGTACTGTCCTCTACGGACCTCTGTAACGGCAACAGGAAATCAGAGGGTTCATTACATTAGAGTGGGGGAGGGATATAAATCGGGATGGACCTTGATAACTAGCAGTGTCCATGCAATTTGTCAAGTAGACCCTGCCAAAGGCAACAAAGAAACTCTTTGTATTCACTAATGAAAAGCATAAAGAAAGCAGTTGTTCGATTTCTGATGTAGGACGATCTTCAAGCATAAACTAAGACTACTGAAAGTATAGTGTGGGTTCTCTCTGTGGCCAGCATAATGCAAGGAGCTTAGGAGCCACAACAGAGAAGATTTGCAACACCAGCTGCCAGTCTGCTAGCAAATGTACCTCTGACCTTGAGTGAAGGGCATCTCTGAAACAGGGGAGAGACAGTGGTTCTCTAGGCTGTTGACTCTTTAGGGGGGCCAGTGGGGATGATGGGTGCTGCACTGTCAATGTTTACCATGATCTCAGTTAACGACAGAACCCTGACCCACAGATACACTTCTAGACTAATCATGGCGGGAATGTTGGAGTAAATTCCAGAACAAGTCAGCAAGTGACTCCCCCCCCCCCCCCCGCATGGCGACCAAGGCTTTGTGAGGTCTAGTTATTCTAGGTCTCAAGGACCCAGACCTCCAGAGATAACATTCAAGGTCTGTTCTTCAGTAACTGATTTGTCTGATGCTTCAGATCCCTCAGTCTATCATATTTAGGATAAAGTATGAAGAAGAAAAAAAATGTATGCACTCACTAACTGTAAGTCGCTCTGGATAAGAGCGTCTGCTAAATGACTAAAAATGTTTTTAAAATAATGGGCAGTATTCCAAAGTGGAATTGTGTTGCATACTAAAGTTAAGTGAACGTAGCAAATAGACTAGTCTGAAATGTTTAAACAAACGAGTTTGGGAAATGAATAGGCAAATGAAAATGGTCAGTGCCATCCTGGACGTCCCTAACCTAAACTCACCTAACCTTTTAAAATGTCAACTTCAATGAGGGGTAGGGACGTCCCAAGGATTCCGGATAGCACGGACCAAATAAAAATGTTCTGACGCAGTTGCACATGGGGTCACTACGTCTGTGAAACAACGTAACCCAGAAGTGGTTGATAAGGAGCCGGTATTTCATTTCGTCGTTGTGCAAGGACAACGACAATGAACTAGAAAAAACATAGAATAGGTCAAATAATACAATTTAAAAATGAGATTTAAAAAATGTATACCAGATGCCTATGTGCACAAAGGATCATCAGCATGCGGCCTCGGATTAGTTTTGGCAAAATATGCGTCACATCACTTCATTCATTCTAAGTACAAAGCTAGTTCGTTAGCAGTACCAACTTCAGATGTATATTTTCTCCAATAACCAACGATTGGAGATTGAATGGTTCAAGTGGTGTCTAACTAACTGTTAACGATCTGCTTTGGCACAATTATGCATGGAGGCTCGCTTGACATTGCCTGAAAAACAGTGTGAGCCTGCCGAACTCATCTCATCCTGTATTCTTGCAGTGGTAGTTAGCAAGCTCGATTATTTGTGCGAACACTGAAAATAGCATCATTTGTCTGACCTTGTCTGAGAGAAAACAAAGCATAGTTAGCAAGCTAGCTAGTTAGCTAACGTTATGAAACTCGGTATGCTAGCTACTAGCTAGCTAGCCAACTTTGTTGGTGATAGAATGTTAAACATCCTAAATTATATTTGAGCTATGTGACAATGTTTTGAGAAAGAATGTCTTACCATTTTTAAGTGGTAGTCGTTGAGACCTTGTAATGTTGAGCCCCGATTTCTTCTTGAATGTGGATCTGACAAGCGGAAGGGGAATCTCTCCACGTGAGGAAATATCGAGAACTGGGACGCGCATGCGTGTCTTCAAATGTCCTTACTTCACGGTTCCTGGACAGTTTAAGTTCCAGAATATTCCATAACGCAAAAAGCAAGTCATAACACGTGCAAACATAAAATTAACACAGTTGTGCAGGGGGAACTCGTCGGGACAGTTATGATGAAATTATAACTAATGCTTCATGAGTTTTCATGTGATTGCAATTCGCAGCAATGTTGCACAATGTGACAACTTTGACCCCTCTTTTTTCTCTAATAGCGCGTTCTGGAATCTGGGTGCCCAGGAACGAGCATTACAGTGACAAGTGCATTTTTTTACACTATAAACTCACCAAATAAAAAGCATTTACCTTATGCATGCACATAGATAGCCCATTCATTTAAAATAAAATACATATGATACAAAACTTCACCCAATTTCAGCAAATTTAATTTATATTTCTACTATGCATGTTTTGGGGCGGACCAGTAAATTACCCGGATGCAAAAGGCCATGTGCAGCGCTGTCTCTCTGAAGTTCGATTGCACCACACCTCTGGCCGTTCTTCTCTACGCTATATCATTCCGTCTTCTTCAGACGACCAAATTGTGCCACCCTAAAATCATTCAAACAACAAGTAAGTACTATTATGTCTTTATAAATCTTTGTAGAGCTTGATGCGCATCAATCTAAACAGCATAATTAACTGTCTCAATCGTCATGCTTTTGCTAGCATCGTTAGTATTTTCAAGCCTCTCCAGCAAGGACAGTCAAATAAGTAGCCATGCTAGTTGGTAATGGTAATTTACATCCTAATGTCCCTGAATATCAGGCACTGGTCATTATTGCAACGCTACTTGTCTGGCATTACTCCAGTACTTTCCATAAGTCGATCTATTTGGTAAGTTGAATTGGTAGTTAGCTAGCTAATATTACAGCTTTTGATTTGAGCTAGTTAGTTAATGCATTGGTTCTTGCATAGCTAATGTTAATTGTTTTCACGTTCATTTAGATATTGTCATGTGCTCTATTCTTAATTCAATAATGATAGATGGCTAAAAAATTTACGTTAATGTTGACTCATGTCATCATGACATGCTAACTATCCCTAAAATATATTTGGTCACCATCACAACTAGGCCTAATTCCAAAAGATTACTAAACCTATCTAGAAAAAAAGAAAGTTCACTCAATCTGCATTTTTCTCAGTCAGAATGATATAAAACTACATACAGGCGTGAAACATGAACGCAGTCCCAGTCTTGTGTCAACATCCTTTTTTCTAAATGCCTATCCAAAATCAATTTGGAATAGCTAGTAAATGGCTACCTCGGGGCTGCAATATAAATGTTTGTCGTATGTAACTTTATTTGACAAATAATGCTTGTGCTGGGCATTTTTAGTACAAGTACACTTTTAATTCCTTCAGTAGTTCATTCATTGAGGTAAGGCATTTACTGCGCAAACGCCGTAGGCTGTGCGATTTTGACCTTGTGACGCATGACCTGAGCACACGTGGGGAGAATCAGGAGAAGACCGGTTCGAGACATTTATCAGTCACGATGTAGCAAATTTCAGCAAACGCACCATCACAGAAATAATTAACGATTCCAAATGAACGTCTCAGATTATTAATTTGTAATCAGAGATGCACAACCCAGTGCAATAGCGTGCTGGAAATGGAATCAGGTCGCTAAAGTACCCTCCTTATGCTACTTGTTCTCAGGACCTTGAGAAATGTGCATAATGTTGTCCTCAGCCCTTGATTTGGGTTATATAGACCAAGAAATTCTGCCAAAATGTAGGCTAATTTATGATAGACTACTGTGACAGTTTATTCAGATTCCGTCCTTTTGACGTGTTCCCGTTGAGACTATCATGATCTACTAAATAAGATTGATATTTTCTTTCTTTCTGCGAGATTTACATTTACATTTTCGTCATTTAGCAGACTCTCTTATCCAGAGCGACTTCAAACACATTTGCTTGTGGTCTTGCTCATGTCCTTTTTGTCCTTGAGATTTTCAGGGGTATTTCATCATGGGTATACCATCATTCATTTCATCATGGGCGGCGCACAATTGGCCCAGCGTCGTCCAGGGTAGGGGAGGGAATGGCCGGCAGGGATGTAGCTCAGTTGCTAGAGCATGGCGTTTGCAACGCCAGGGTTGTGGGTTTGATTCCCACGGGGGGCCAGTATAAAAAAATATGTATTCACTAACTGTAAGTCGCTCTGGATAAGAGCGTCTGCTAAATGACTTAAATGTAATTCATTTATTAATTATTGCTGTACCATGAACGGCCAATAGGTTGTACTGTATAGCTTGTTTTGTCACTTCCAGACATTGTCATTATGTGACATATGGGCCGGGGGAGGGGGTAGAAGGTGTCTTAGGAATGATCCAGAAGGTTCATTTGTTACAGGGCAAATATGGACTCTTGTTTGCTACTTTGAGATATTACCAACAATTTAACTGTATATTAAAATGAAGACAAGATAGCCAACAGCTGTTGATACAAGACACATGTTATTTGAGTTGACTATGATGTATTAAATAAAGTGCATTGGCTGCTCTGTGACTGAATGAATGATTGGTAATTGTGGGCCCTATGTCATTTCAATTTTTTTCTTTATCGGCCCCCCACCCCTCCAGAGATGCTGCGTCTACCCACAGTGATGAGACAGATGAGGCCAGTCTGCAGGGCCCTGGCCCCCCACCTCACCCGAGCCTATGCCAAGGACGTCAAGTTTGGAGCCGATGCTCGGGCCATGATGCTGAAGGGAGTGGATCTGCTGGCTGATGCTGTCGCCGTCACCATGGGACCCAAGGTAGGAGGAGGGCGTTGCTATGACTACACCTTCTGGTATTGGGGTGCCAAATAAAATATATACAATTCTGTAAGATTTAAATTTCACCCAGATTTTGTGGGATGTATGAAATTGCTAAGTATAACCAATTAATTATTGTTCCACTTTTTATTTGAATCTTATTTATGCCCGAAGAACCCTGTGCACCACGGTGTGTCTTGTTCCAGGTGCCGGTTCGGCCAGGAACAACTGAACACAAGTGTTACAAGTGTTTTGAGCTGTATCCTTTGCCGCATCCCTGCAGGGTCGTACAGTCATCATTGAGCAGAGCTGGGGCAGCCCCAAGGTGACCAAGGACGGCGTCACTGTAGCCAAGGCCATCGACCTGAAGTGCAAGTACCAGAACATCGGTGCCAAGCTGGTCCAGGATGTGGCCAACAATACTAACGAGGAAGCAGGAGATGGCACCACCACCGCCACTGTGCTGGCCAGAGCCATCGCCAAGGAGGGCTTTGACACCATCAGTAAAGGAGCTAACCCTGTGGAGATCCGCCGGGGCGTCATGCTGGCTGTGGAGACCGTCATTGCTGAGCTGAAGAGGATGTCTAAGCCAGTCACCACACCTGAGGAGATTGCCCAGGTAACCAATTCTGTTAAGAATATGGATTGATCAAATAAGTCAATATTCTCATAAATTCATATCTATTCAAATAATTATTTAATAGAGATGGATGCAATATTTATATTATATCCTTTTTGATGGTGAATGTCAAGTTTTCAATGATCTGTGTTCTGTCTGCTAGGTGGCCACCATCTCTGCTAATGGAGACGTGGAGATCGGCACCATCATCTCCAATGCCATGAAGAAAGTGGGCCGCAAGGGAGTCATCACTGTCAAGGATGGCAAAACCCTGCATGATGAGCTGGAGATCATTGAGGGGCTGAAGTTCGACCGAGGATACATCTCCCCTTACTTCATCAACTCAGCCAAAGGTAAGGTCCCGTCTCTGCCATGACCCCACCGCCAAGCCCAGCTATTTTGGGGCTTTAAGATGAAAATATGCTCTACAGATATAATGGATTTTTATGATCTTGATGCTCCACATATGGCCATTTTGGAGCTTTTACATGACCTTTCTCCCTCATCTCTGCCCCTCAGGCCAGAAGTGTGAGTTCCAGGATGCCTATGTGTTGCTGAGTGAGAAGAAGATCTCTACTGTCCAGAGCATCGTCCCTGCCCTGGAATTGGCCAACCAGCACCGCAAACCTCTGGTCATCGTGGCCGAGGACGTGGACGGAGAGGCCCTCAGCACCCTGGTTCTCAACAGGTCAGTTCCTTGTTCCTTTAGCACCCTCTGTCTCAGAGTAGCAGTTCTGATCTGGGATCAGTTTGGGATTTTAGATCATAATTCTATGCACAGAGGGACATGATCCTAGATAAGCAATCCTGCTCAGACTCTTTGTGAATAGAGGCCCTGGTCCTCAACAGGCCAGTCTGTCCTTTATTTAACCAGTAAACACCCTTGAGGTTAAGGACCTGTTTTTAAGGACCTTTCCAACACTGACTGAGCACCTGGGCCAATGGGACACAACCAGCTCACATGCCTACACTGATATATAACTCCAACATCATTCAGCTCTGGGTATTTATTTATAACTGAAGAGTCAACCTCAAAATAAAGCTGAAGACAATTTTGTTATTCCTGCCCTCTTTCTATGTGTAGATGCTGGGTGGTGTCAGTTTGAGTGTGTTATATTAACCTCTACTCTGTCTTTAGGCTGAAGGTGGGACTACAGGTGGTGGCAGTCAAGGCCCCAGGCTTTGGAGACAACAGGAAGGCCCAGCTGCACGACATCGCCGTCGCCACCGGGGGCACTGTAAGCACACTTTACACTAATCACCCTATACGAACATCAATCCATTTCTACTGTAAGAACACTTTACACTGTAACCACCCATACTTCTATCAGTCAATCACTACTTGGGAAAAGGAATAGGGGAAAGCAGGATAAGTTACAGTACAGCTTGTTCAGTGCTGTTCTGTCGTTCCCCCTGCACACAGAAACATGTCTCCTACTATCCCTGTCTGTCAGCATCCCACGGCAGGCAGGGACGCTTGGTTTCAGACACTTCTGCACTGGTGTGATTCACCAATCAATGACTAGAAATGTTGCATAGTCTTGCTTATCCCATGGTTAAGGGTTTAACTCGGGACGGAATGGCCCTGTTCTAATCATGGTAAAGTGCACCCTCCATCCCTCTCTTGAAAGATGGACGCCATTTTGAAATATTCTATCAAGGCCAATGACTACCTGTTCGAATCCTGCCCTTCCTTTACTGAGATCCCTCCTCGCTCTTCCTCAGGTGTTTGGTGACGAGGCGGTGGGCATTGCCCTGGAGGACATCCAGGCCCATGACTTTGGCCAGGTGGGCGAGGTGTCAGTGACCAAGGACGACACCATGCTGCTGAAGGGTAAGGGAGACACGGCGGCCATCGAGAAGAGGCAGGCTCAGATCGCTGAGCAGCTGGAGAACACCACCAGCGACTACGAGAAGGAGAAGCTCAGCGAGAGGCTGGCCAAGCTGTCTGACGGAGTGGCTGTGCTCAAGGTCAGAGGAGAAGGGGGGGCTGTATGGAGGGGGACATGATTGAAGAGGGAGATCTTAAGAAAAGGGATAGATGGCAGTATGATTTCATTACATTTGTTTAGTCCTTTTTAATGTCCCTGAATATTGTCAAAGTTTTGTCCAGCCTTATGAAATAAGCCTAGACTATACCCAATGGGCTGGCGATTCATTTCTCATCACTCATTTTGATAAAACGTATACTAAAAACTTGGAAATCAGTCAATCCGCCATCATTAACACAATGGAAAAATCAAATGATTTATTATTTAAATATTGAAGTGGCATGGGCGACTGGGAAAAATAAATGGATACAATTTAAGGCCAAGTGGCAAACAATAATGCATGTGGGTCTGGGCAGATGAAATGTAGTTCGTGTGCGTCTGTAAGTTGTTTGTATGTATAAGCTTTGTGTATGGAGTAAAAATACAAAAATAAATAAGGTAGGATGAGTTGACATTAGGAGATTCCTACTCTGAGACAGGATTTACATTTGCTTCTGTATCCACCATGCATGAAAGAGAAAGTGTCACCCACTGACTGTTTTGTTTCAGGTGGGAGGAACGAGTGATGTGGAGGTGAATGAGAAGAAGGACCGTGTGACCGACGCCCTGAATGCCACCAGGGCCGCTGTGGAGGAGGGCATCGTGCCCGGGGGTGGCTGTGCCCTGCTGCGCTCAATCCCTGCACTGGATGCCCTTGTGCCCATCAACGCTGACCAGAAGATTGGTAAGTAGAGTTCCTATTCTTGATCTTTACCTAACATGCCAAAAGGTTTTCATCTGGTCACATGGGAGTGGCGGGATATGTTCCATTTTCCTTTTGGGCAGATAAGTATTGTAGCTTAACTTGGTATATCGCTTCCTCTCTATAGGAATTGACATCATCAGACGAGCCCTGCGTGTGCCAGCCATGACAATTGCTAAGAACGCTGGTGTGGAGGGCTCTCTAGTGGTAGAGAAGATCCTTCAGGCCGCGGTGGAGATCGGCTATGATGCCATGGAGGGAGAGTACGTCAACATGGTAGAGAAGGGTATCATCGACCCCACCAAGGTATGCATGCTTCAGCTCGGCACTACACTGTCATTTCGCTGTCATTCACCCAGCATACCAAAAAGATGAAGACTGGTTCATTTTATAGTGATGGGAAATGTACAGCACTAATGTTGGCAAAGTTATATGAATTTGAATTCATACAAGATTAATTAATTGCTGCAATAAGGTTTTCTACTTGCATTACGGTGTATGCTTTGGCTAGACTGAAGTTGCGTAGACAGAAAATGGCTGATACTAAAGTGCTCTTGCTCCCTCCTGGTGTATGTCAGTATTACAACAAGGACTGAGTCTGTCTCCCCCTACAGGTGGTGAGGACTGCACTAATGGATGCTGCAGGTGTTGCATCCCTGCTCTCCACCGCTGAGTGTGTGGTCACAGAGCTGCCCAAGGATGAGAAAGAGGGTGGCACGCCAGGAGGCATGGGTGGAATGGGAGGCATGGGAGGAATGGGTGGTGGCATGTTCTAAGGCCCACCTCAAAGCGCTGTACAGACTTAATGGCAGCGTGGGGCTCGGGGGCAAATTGTTCCTCCAACCCCCAGACTTGCCCAAACTGACTGGCCGTGAGTTTTGTTGGAGCTGCAAATGGATGAACCACACTATTTCTGCTGATTGTCTCCCCTCCACCCTCTGGAAGACCAGACCAGCCTGTCCTCGCTCAGCCTCTCGCCGTCCCTCTACCCCTCTGAATGACCAGACCAGCCTGTCCTTGCTCAGCCTCTCTCCGTCCCTCTACCCATCTGACTGAGGCTCTGATAAACCCCAGTCTGCCCCGATGATGCCCCCCCCCCCCCCCCCCCCCCCCCCCCCCCCCCCCCAGTTTACCTCACAAACATGGCCGTCTCATCATCCATCAGCAGCATGCAGAATATTCACTGTCGATTATGAAAGATGCGAATGCAATGCTGGTATTGATAATTCTATCAAATGGAAGTGTTTGTACTACTGTAACTTCCTGAAGTTAAAGATAAGGCAGATATAACACAGTGTATATATATATATGGGGGTTTGCTGGAGAAAGGAAACTTGGGCAGAAATGCCATTTTCAATTTGTCGTAACATTGTTAATTTGTTTTTTTTAATCCGTTTTGTCCTGTTTCACCCACGTAATGTTGGGAGGAACTAACCTTTTCAGTTGAGTTAATACAAATAAAATAATTCTTGCTGAGCATGAGCTTTCTTTTGGTGTGTCTGATTTCAATACTCAAATATTCTAGAACTGAAAGATGAATTCTATATACCTTATACTAAGAAACACGACCTTTATGATTGGATAAGAGTGCCTCGTTTACTAGTAATTTAGCGGAGTGGACTGCTAATGTGCATTAAAATAGCTGAATGTCTTTCTAGCAGAGGGAGGGGGCAGTTAGAGGTTGACAGCTTGGGTTGGTTGGACTAGTTACAGCAGTTTGGGCCAGTGAAGGTCCAAGTTAATGTGAAACCCATTGATGTCCTCATGACTGGATTTGTACTTACTGCTCATTGATGTTTAGCCTACATGTATTTACTGTGTTCAATAGGTGCTACAAACTACCGTGTGTTTTAAGAAGTGTTACGCTGTGCTACTTCACAATGATACACTTTTTTCCTCCAGTACATTATTTCTTTGCAAACAACCAACCGTGATCATTCGACGTGTTTTGTACAATGTAGACAGTTTTTATTTAATAAAATCAAATGTTCTGAAGGAAGAAGAGTATTGTGCTTTTCTATTAACAAAACTTCAGAATATCTGCTGATTTCAAAGTACGATGCCAGACATACTGAACTGGAATTCTGACAGAAAACAATCAGGGCTGCCCAACCCTCTTCCTGGAGATCTATTGTCCTGTAGGTTTTCAGTCCAACCCTAATTTAGCATATCTGATTCAACTAGTTAAGGTCTTGTTGAGCAGCTAATAAGTAGAATCAGGTGTGTTAAATTAGGGTTGGTCTGAACCCACAGGACGGTAGATCTCCAGGAAGAAGGTTGGGCAGCCCTGAACTAAATAATTAACTACGTCAATGGTGATCGTCCATGTCAGGGCTCGCCAACCCTGTTCCTGGAGTACTACCGTCCTGTAGGTTCTCACTCCAACCCTTATCTAGCGCACCTGATTCTAATAATTAGCTAGTTGATAAATCAGGTTAGTTACAACTGGTGTTGGAGTAAAAATGTACATGAGGGTAGCTCTCTAGGAACAGGGTTGGAGAGCCCTAGTCTATGTGCTGTCCTGTTAAATATGTAGTATCAGTATCTTGGCTCAAAAAGGGCCATATGTCGTTATGGTATTTTGTTACAGCATTTCTGTCCTTAGGACAATTGTTTCCTCTTGTGCATGTGGTTCTGTATTTGTCCAGCAGGAGTCATAACCAACTCCCATAACTTAATGTAAGTTATATTTTTACCGCTCTCATGATTCCCTCTATTTTGTCCAATGGTCAACCAACCATGAGCCTATGAAGTTCGTGAACCAGTTGAAACCAACCAGATGTTGACTATTCCAAACCTGAGGAAGGCACATAGCGCCGAAACTGACTTCCCCATTAAATGTTCAGGAGTATACATTAACTGTGCAATTTGAACTCCACACACAAAAACCACTCAGACTTCTTAAAATATAAAAATAGTTTATAAACCATGCAGTCGATACATCTTCACCCATTTGACACTCATTGAAACACCTCCGTATGCACTATAAAACCCAATCCCCAAAACATAACAGAAATTATAGTTATGTCAGCAAGTTCAGTGTGCACTCTTTTCTCATCTGTGGTCTTAAAACAATATGTACACGCGTTCTTATAATCATCTTCATAAATATCATTATATGAGTAGAATGCATAAGGTTATAGAACAAAATATAAATATGATGCCACTAGGACCAGGTCAAAAGCCACTGGGTGAAAGGTGTAAAAGTGAGATACCTCACTGTGACAGCAAGTATTCTGACTGGCAGACACAAGCTGCATCCAAAATGGTACCTTATTCCCTTTATAGTGTACTACTTTTGGTCAAACGTAGTACATATAGTGAACTACTTTTGACCAGAGCCCTATGGGTACATTGTATAGGGAATAGGGTGCCATTTCAGACGCAGACAGACAGTTTAGCCAGAGTGGACAACCCTGTCCCCTGCCTAGCCAGTCTGGGCCCTTTTAAACAGTTGATATCTCTAGCGAAAAAGTAGCTGCATTTAAAAACCAAACGCGTTATGATATTGCACACTTTAAAAGCAAGTGCCATAACCGAACTCTGCTAAACAACATGGCTCCCATGGTCATTAGAGAACAAGGTGCTATATGGGGTGCAGCAGAACTGTCCCCAGTAACATTGTTGCAACACAGCACCTCTTGAACAGGTGTGTCGGTAGGCATGGCAGTATGTATACACCTGCTCAGCAGTGTTGCGACATTCCTTTAGGAAACATCGATCTTCCAAGTGCTCACACTTCATTCAAGGACAGTGACAAACCTGCTTCTGTCCCTTTTTCGTGAAAACATTCTGATGTACAAGCTGATCCTTTGATACCCCAGCCTCCATCTTATCCACATGACAACCTAGCATTAGGCTACTTAAGCAATAAAGCGTGAGGGGGTGTGGTATATGGCCAATATACCACGGTTAAGGGCTGTTCTTAGGGACGACGCAACGCGGAGTGCCTGGATACAGCCCTTAGCCGTGAAATATTAGCCATATACCACAAACCCCAGAGGAGCCTTATTGCTTTTATAAACTGGTTACCAACGTAATTAGAGCAGTAAAAATAAATGCTTTGTCACTTCAGCCAAATCAGCATTCAGGGCTCAAACCACCCAGTTTATAATGTATGTTAAGTGATAGGTTTGTTAGAATAACGTAATGCACGTGTCATATCTTGGATGGGCCTTCACAACCTCTTGGCCTGATCAGGACATAAGAAGCCCAGTCCCTTTCCCCTGATCTCCCTACCATAGTACCTTACACACAGCCTTTCACTAGCAGAAGAGATCTCCACAAGATGGCTATTATAAGCCCTGTCTTGACCTGTGCCCACCGCATGGGGACAGCACTAAGCTATGGGGCGTGCCTACTGGCCAGAGGTGCTGATGGTTTCTTTGGGTTGAGGGGGTCACCGGGAGGAGACCATGGTGGTATTGGGGGGAGGAAGAGTGATGTATGTTTGAGGAGAGGAGTAGGGTATTTTGGGGGTAGGGAGGGGGACAGAATCCAGCCACAAGCAGTTAATGGGAATAAAATCATTGGTCGTGTTCTGATAAGGTACTGCAGCGTTCAGGCACATAACCTCTTCTCTCCTCCCGCCTCCCTTCACTCCCTCTTCCCCCCCTCTCGCTCTCCCTGCCATTGCTGACTGTGTGTGTGTGACTGTGTGTAGAAAGATGATGACTCGTTGGGGCGCGCTACGTGTGGTGGACCTCATGAAACATGAGCTCTCTGGGGATCATGGTCTGTGCTCCGTACAGTTTACCGGCCCGCCTCTCAAATGCGGACACGTTCTGCTTCACCACCTCGTCAAAGAAAACCGTGGCCAGCTGGGAATGCAGCAGGGAGCGGAACTCAAAGGAGATCTGGAGAGAGGAGAGACGGAGAGTGGGAGTTTGGGTGAGAAAGTGATCTAGACATATGATATTGTATACATGCATGTGTGTGAGAAAAACTGTGCCAAAGATAGCAGAAATAGATAGCTAGCTCTTAAGCAGACACATACAGTTGAAGTCGGAAGTTTACATACACCTTAGCCAAATACATTTAACCTCAGTTTTTCACAATTCCTGACATTTAATCCTAGTAAAGATTCCCTGTCTTAGGTCAGTTAGGATCACCACTTTATTTTAAGAATGTGAAATGTCAGAATAATAGTAGAGAGAATGATTTATTTCAGCTTTTATTTCTTTCATCACATTACCAGAAGTTTACATACACTAAATTAGTATTTGGTAGCATTGCCTTTAAATTGTTTAACTTGGGTTTAAATGTTTCGGATAGCCTTCCACAAGATTCCCACAATAAGTTGTGTGAATTTTGGCCCATTCCTCCTGACAGAGCTGGTGTAACTGAGTCAAGTTTGTAGGCCTCCTTGCTCGCACACGCTTTTTCAGTTCTGCCCACACATTTTCTATAGGATTGAAGTCAGGGCTTTGTGATGGCCACTCCAATACCTTGCCTTTGTTGTCCTTAAGCCATTTTGCCACAACTTTGGAAGTATGCTTGGGGTCATTGTCCATTTGGAAGACCCATTTGCGACCAAGCTTTAACTTCCTGACTGATGTCTTGAGATGTTGCTTCAATATATCCACATCATTTTCCTTCCTCATGATGCCATCTATTTTGTGAAGTGCACCAGTCCCTCCTGCAGCAAAGCACCCCCACAGCATGATGCTGCCACCCCCGTGCTTTACGGTTGGGATGGTGTTCTTCGGCTTGCAAGCCACACCCTTTTTCCTCCAAACATAACGATGGTCATTATGGCCAAACAGTTCTATTTTTGTTTCATCAGACCAGAGGAAATTTTTCCAAAAAGTATGATCTTTGTCCCCATGTGCAGTTGCAAACCGTAGTCTGGCTTTTTTATGGCGGTTTTGGAGCAGTGGCTTCTTCCTTGCTGAGTGGCCTTTCAGGTTATGTCGATATAGGACTCGTTTTACTGTGGATATAGATACTTTTGTACCCGTTTCCTCCAGCATCTTCACAAGGTCCTTTGCTGTTGTTCTGGGATTGATTTGCACTTTTCACACCAAAGTACGTTAATCTCTAAGAGACAGAGCGCGTCTCCTTCCTGAGCGGTATGATGGCTGCGTGGCCCCATGGAGTTTATACTTGCGTACTATTGTTTGTACAGATGAATGTGGTACCTTCAGGCGTTTGGAAATTGCTCCCAAGGATGAACCAGACTTGTGGAGGTCTACAATTGTTTTTCTGAGGTCTTGGCTGATTTCTTTTGATTTTCCCATGATGTCAAGCAGAGGCACTGAGTTTGAAGGTAGGCCTTGAAATACATCCACAGGTACACCTCCAATTGACTCAAATTATGTCAATTAGCCTATCAGAAGCTTCTAAAGCCATGACATTATTTTCTGGAATTTTCCAAGCTGTTTAAAAAGGCACAGTCAACTTAGTGTATGTAAACTTCTGACCCTCTGGAATTGTGATAGTGAATTATAAGTGAAATAATCTGTCTGTAAACAATTGTTGGAAAAATTACTTGTGTCATGCACAAAGTAGATGTCCTAACCGACTTCCCAAAACTATAGTTTGTTAACTAGAAATGTGTGGAGTGGTTGAACAACAAGTTTTAATGACTCCAACCTAAGTGCATGTAAACTTCCGACTTGAACCGTATATGGACACACATAAGATACACAAACCATGACACCCACACCTGTACACCCACAGTGCAGTGTGTTGAGGTACTTACAGAGAAGTCAACAGTGCAGGTGCGAGGGTAGCCAGGGAGGCCAGGACTGAAGCGCCACACCGTCTCCAGGTGGTTGAAGAGCTTACCGTCTGAACAGGCAGCCTGGGGGTCAACACACAGGTCAGACTGCTGATATAACCACAGTGGCTGCATTCCAGCTCGTCTTTATTAAAAGGCGCGCTACGAATCTCATAAGATAGCTATATAATATTTATGTAGTTCCTGAGATGCTAAACACTTCTCCAGACGATGTGACAGCTGATCTATTCAACGCAACTGCAATTAAGACAGCCTGGAACATACCCGGTGTCCATCTACATCACAGCTGCTCACCTTATACCTATCCAGGTACCCTCACTGCAGATACAGTAGTGGTGGGAGATACCAGACATTACATGCAGTGCCTTACCTTGACCAGGTGGGGGCGCACTGTGGTGACCAACGAGGTGTAGTTCTCCACTACAGGGGGGAAGCCCACGGTCAGCTTGGCCTTGCAGAATCCTGAGCGCCGGAACACCACGTCAGACTTCTTACACCAGGGAACGAAATGAAGGTAGTTCTCCACCCCAGCTACCACTTCATACATCTCCAACATAGAGTACCTGACAAAGAGAAGAGGCCTGGGTCAACATCTCTAACAGAGGAAGGAGGAAAGAGTCCCATATAACCCAATAGTCCTCTAAACTCTGACCTTAAGTTAAATTCTATTTGTAATGTAGGTGGAGGTTGTCAACAGAAGAAGACTTACTTAACAGTGATGATTGACATTCTCTGCCCCCATGTATCAACTGGCCCGGGGACTAACTAAATTCAGCCAGTCAGACTATTGCAATTTCCCACCCAATCATTACATCACAGCCTGGCAACTAGCCTGGACACAGAGTGGGTTGCTTTAAATAGCGTAAGATTTAGTGATTATGACCTTCACTGGATACGTGAGAGAGTCATTGGCGGGAGCAGGACAGATAATACATTGAGAAACCAGAGTATCTATATTCATTTCTAGGAGGCAGACTTGGGTTTAAATACTATTTGAAATAATTTCAAATAGGCTACTTTGTCTGTGCTCCAGTGAACTTGCCTGTTGCAATGGAACCAATAGAAAACTCCCAAACCATGACCACCTGGCATTCCAGGTAGGCTAAAGTAGATTTCAAACAGTATTTGAACCCAGGCAGAGGCAGGTCTGATTTCAAGGAGGAGGCACAGTGACTGACCCCATGATACGTCTCTCGGAGTACTCCTTCCTCTTGTTGAAGGTGTCAGCCAGGTTGAAGAAGGAGTGGGTGGGGGCCACGATGACTCTGGACCCGGGCATGACCCCCAGGAGGGGTGGCACCCGCGTCATCAGGATCCCACATGAGGAGAGATATCTGTTCCAAAACAAGGAGAGAGAGGTGCGTCAGAGTCTGAGAAAAACATAAGGGCCTATCATTTGCCAGTTTGCCAGACACACTGGATTGTCACATCTCAGCGTCACATTCACAATCATTTCTAAGGGGCCAATTACTAAGTGTCGAATTCCTATGTACAGACTGGCTGCATGGCCGAATTCTCTGGATGCCTCTTCCCAATAGCTGAACAACCAAACATTCTGCGTATGTACGGGATTCTAAACTTTACACTCGGCTGCTGCAGGTTGTCAGAGCCTGCAGGGTGCGCTTTTAATAAAGTTAGATCAAAGCTGACTATGTCAAGATCAATGTAAGTGGCCAATGGTTCATCAGAGGTCTCTGAGCTCATGTTCTCACACTGCAGACGTTTACAAAACAAACAACCATGTGAAGGGGCCAATACATCCACACAGCAAAAAACGGATAAAAGGAACAGGACATTTTCTGGTGAAAACAGGTAGTGTTTGTTTGTTACTAAGATCAACTGCTTTGAATCCCTTTCCACAAGCTACCAGTAACTATAAATATGCAAAGTCAACCACTACATGCCTTGGCTATACTTGCGGAATTTTGCTCTGTAAAACAAACTAAAAATACAGTGAAAAGTCTGGGCATATAATTAAAACATTATAGAAATCATAAATCAACTCAGTAGGTTTGGCACTATACTATCATTTGCGCTTGGCTAAAGAAACCTATAGCTTGTAGTCCCGTGTAGCTCAGTTGGTAGAGCATGGCGTTTTCAACACCAGGGTTGTGGGTTCGTTTCCCACGGGGGACCAGTATGAAAAAAAAATGTATGCACTCACTAACTGTAAGTCGCTCTGGATAAGAGCGTCTGCTAAATGACTAAAATGTAAATGTCTCCAAATTTCATCCCAAGTTATAAGGCCAACATTTCTTAAACTTCACTGTGGAAAAGGTGATGTGTTGATATGCTTCAGTTTGCTGCCATGTGACTGGTTTCACATTTGTCTCCAGCGACCATAAGGTAAAATAGATCTAAAACAATTGTCATTTATATTTACAATCCCCTTATCCGAACTGCTTACTCCTTTACCTCTTATCAAGTTGTAAATTACAGTACAGGAGAATGGGGTTATTTGTTCCACTTGGAACCGACAGGTTGCTCGACCTTATTCATCGCACGTAAAGGTGGTGGAATTGAGTCAAGGTCAGAATACAGCGTATCTGTAGACACACCCTAATTTATTCGATCTCCACCCCCAACGAATAGCGGGTCTATAGCATGCTATTCTCATGTTTAAGTTCAAGGTCAGAATAGGCAGAGAGAAAAGTGCATAACAAAGAAAATTAGCTACATTCCATTTACGCCCGCTTAACTAGGGTCGGATTTCCCCTCTATGTGACTAGCCCAAAGAAAGGATTGTCAGCTACAGAGGCTTGAAGCTGAGAAAGACACAGGGTCCTCCAGGTTTGTCACATTTTCAGTTGAGATCCAGTTCAGTAAGCAATCACACTGAATTCTGCACGGTGAGCACACCTGCAACTGCTGCTGCCCCAGTGACAACCATAGCCTACTTTCTCACTCTGTGCTAATGTGGTTGAAACCAGTCCCCAGGAAAATAAAAACTTTTTTTTAAACTTGCAAAAAAGACTGAGTCAGAAAACACCTTTGCCCCTTAGGGAATCTCTGTCTGACTCAGAGGACAACCTCAACACACACCTAGGACTATTCAAACAGTGGTTTAATTCCAATGAAAGGCAATATGCACACCAATACACACAACAATTGGACAACTGAATCAAATGAAATGCTGTAAATCCCAAATAACTGAATAGTAGGAGCCGGTGGGATCATAGTGAAAGCCATGATAGCTGCATTCTGTCTGGCTGAGGAGAGAGGAGCGTCAGTGGAGAACATGCTTGTGGTGGCAGCTGTGTCCCTGACAGAAACAGATGATGGCCATCTGCCAGGTGCCAGCAGCTTAGCCACCGCTGCACCTGGCTGGTGATTGACACATGGGGACACAACGTCCCTGGAGGCCGGCATTGGGGAGGCATGATTGGACTACAGTACAGTTATTATCACCACCAGATCGGGTATTATGTCACTTTGCAGCGTGATGTTGTTATTTTGTGTAGCACTGAATGGTGTGAGGAATTATAAAATTGTGAGTTCAATTAACTTCAATCCACATAGGATTTTAAGACACTGATAGTCAGATTAAGAGCACCTACTGAATTAGCCTACTGCGCAGATGCAGTGTGTTTTTGAATGGGAACTCCTAAGACCCAGTGCAATTATAAACTATTTAGCACCTTCCTAAACATCCTCCTGGCATAGTGAGGAGTGCAACTAGGAGTTTGGTTTCAAACGCTAGGCAGTGCCTACCGCCTCGATCACACCAACAGCGTCATTGCATTTTCGTACACAAGAAGTACATTATTTTCCAATGGAACGCTGCGGTTGCCTTGCAGCATTGCGTTGCAGAGGCAGTTGCAGTGCATACGTTGGATTTATCGAATGTATGCGTCAAACTGTATGCGTAGATGGCTTAACAGAAATGGTAGCAGAAGGTAAATGTTTAACTTTTTGCGCAATGACACTGAAGGTGTGATTGAGGTGTAAGTGGCAGTGACCTAACACATGCATGTGAGAGCCAGGCAAACAAAGAAAACCTGTAGCCCCTTAAAGCTGCAATATGTAACTTTTTGGGTGACCAACCAAACTCCCATAGAAATGTGAGTTATAGATCTGTCATTCTAATTGAAAGCACATCTAAGTGTAGATCTGTTCTATGAGCAATATTTCTATACTTCCTATGATCAAGTTTCGTTTTTGCACCTTTTACTTTCGGTTTTGTACACCTGCTTCACACAGCTGAAAATACAATATTTTTGGTTATTGAAAATATATTTCACAGCTGGTTAGGATGGTACAATGATTCTTGTTCTGTCACAAACTTAAATTAGGCAACGATTAGAATTTTAGCCACCAGGAAATGACGGAGCGATTGCTGCATAGTGCATCTTTATGCCTCGATCACACCGACAGTGTTATTGCATTTTGGTACACCAGAAGTACATTCGTTTCAGATGGAACGCTGCATTTGACTTGCAGCATTGCGTTGCAGTGCGTTCTGTGTGCTACATATGTTGGATTTATCGAACGTATGAGTCAAACTGTATGCGAAGACGGCTTGACAGAAATGGTAACAGAAGGTGAATGTTGAACACATATCCAGATGATACTGCTTAAAATGTTGCACAAAAACACTTGGTGTGATCGAGGCTTGACATAAAATGGTAGCATAAGGTGAATGTTGAACTTTTGTTGCACACATATCCATATGATGCCGTGTACCATTTTGCAAAATCACACTGTCGGTGTGATCGAGGCGTTAAGCCCCAGATAATGTCCAAAGACAGATTGCGTACCACAGGTAGCTGGCGATATGGAAGTTGTCCAGACTTATCTCTATAACTTCAGCCACTTAGCTAACTGGATGAATGCCTTTGACATGTTAACCATTTCAGCCAGAGGCAGAGACAGCCAGGCACTGACTGATACTAGGAGGTAGTAGACAGTCTAGCCAACAAGCCTTCCAAAAGTAAACATGCCATTGATAAAATAACAATTTGCACAAACTGTAGCAAACCTCAACTACAATGCTTTCAAGAACACCTGTCGGTGTTTTCAGTTCGAGAACCAAATGAGAAATTGACCATCCTCCCATGACCCAAATCTTCCACCAACTATTACAAATAAAGTGTGTGATTATAGAGGTATTCTCAGAACTTGTAACCCACCTCACATGCCCAGGGCCCACTGTGTCCCGAGTAGCCATGATGAAACCCTGCCATAGCTAACGTTTAGCAATCAGGCAGCAGCCCTAATTAGTTGTCAAAACAGTTAGCTAAAAGGACATGTTTGGCTAGCTATAAGAATCTGTTAGCTAACGTTAGATAACTTAAATAAGTAAGCTAACTAAAGTTGTTTGCTAAAGTTAGTTTATGAGCCAGAAAATCCCATTGACCGGCTTGACACAAAGCAGCTGAGACAAGGTAAGCAAACAAGCTGCTAGCGAACTTTAGCTTCATCGAGAAAAATGCGAACTGTAGGTAGGCTAATGCTAGCACTTTTTATGGTAAAAAAAAAAAAAAAGTAATTTGCAAGTTTTCATGTTTTACAATTGTACATAAAACATGAACAGCAGTTACCTTACGCCAATCCTTTCAGGTGTTTCTCGGCCAGCTGTGACGGGTAACTGTTTAATACATTCTAGTACCGCTCTCCTCAGTCCCCGGATACCTCTTGCCATCTTCACTGCGATGATCTCTTTTCTGCTTCTTTCAGCCGCTAGCTACATCTCCCGCAGCAGTGCCTTACTCCTTCGTGGACGCGCCTTCTCTAACTAGCGCTATGATTGGACAATAGTTATCTGTTAAGAGTTTTCATTGGTCACTGTATACATCCGTCACCCTAAAACTGTTGACCTGTGTTTTTTGCATTGTGCTGGGAGTGCGTGCGCACAAATGTCACGAGATGTGGGATTGAGTTGCCTTGACTTGATCGACCTACAGTGCATAGTTGGCTCTGAAAGGTTAGAGCTAAATATGTTGAAAGGACACAATGTTAAGCAGAGTTCTCTCTCTCTCTCTCTCTCTCTCTCTCTCTCTCTCTCTCTCTCTCAGTTCAATTCAAATTGCTTTATTGGCATGGGAAACATATGTTTACATTGCCAAAGCAAGTGAAATGGATAATAAACAAAAGTGAAATAAACAATCAGAAATAAACAGTAAACATTACACTCACAAACGTTCCAAAGGAATAGAGACATTTCAAATGTCATATTATGGCTATATACAGTGTTGTAACAATGTGCAAATAGTTAAAGTACAAAAGGGAAAATAAATAAACAGAAATATGGGTTGTATTTACAATGGTGTTTGTTCTTCACTGGTTGCCTTTTTCTTGTGGCAACACGTCACAAATCTTGCTGCTGTGATGGCACACTGTGGTATTTCACCCAATAGATATGGGAGTTTATCAAAATTGGATTTGTTTTCAAATTCTTTGTGGGTCTGTGTAATCTGAGAGAAATATGTGTCTCTAATATGGCCATACATTTGGCAGGAGGTTAGGAAGTGCAGCTCAGTTTCCACCTCATTTTGTAGGCAGTGTGCACATAGCCTGTCTTCTCTTGAGAGCCAAGTCTGCCTACGGCGGCCTCTCTCAATGGCAAGGTTATGCTCACTGAGTCTGTACATAGTCAAAGCTTTCCATAATTTTGGGTCAGTCACAGTGGTCAGGAATTCTGACACTGTGTACTCTCTGTTTAGGATCAAATAGTGTGTCAAAACTGTCACTGTATATTTTCATCCCTTGCCGCTAGTTCTTCCCCATAGCATGGTTCTTGTAATGCTTATGACATATCTGGGCAAGCATATTGACTGAATGAAAAATATAATTAGAAAATGGTTATTTATAATTTAAGCTAGTTTCTAGAGCAACTTCAACAAACCAATGTATGTAAGTATGCCAGGGTCATTTGTATCAATATCTCAGGTACCACTAATATGCCCCTGAGCAGGGCACTTAATCTGCTCCAGGGGCGCTTCAGCTGACCTTGTGCTACTCCCAGCCTGGTGTGTGTTTATTTATAATAGATCAATAAAATATATAATCTATTCTATGGTGGTTTACATGTTTGGATTTTCAGCATGCATTTATAAACAGTTCCCTTAAAGTGCTACTTTGATTTCAAACTCAATGAATTGGTTAGTTTATTCACTATATCACAATTTACTGTTTTCTGATAGGGCGTTTTGTATTTTAATTTAAGTTTAAAACCCTCAGATATGTCCCTCTCAAGCAACTGGGGACTGCGATGTTTAGATAGAAATGTAAATTATTTCTGATTTACACATGCGTGCACATCTGTTTTTGCTGAACGGATATTAATTAATTCTGACTTCCGGTTTCAGTCTTACTGAAACACCAAAATGGCGAAGATCGCCAAAACACATGAAGGTAAGATTATTTATTTACAAAGTGTTTTAAGTGGCTATTATAACCTAATTTTTCGTACGTCGGGATCATAATAAATATACGACCAAAATGCATCCATTGTTTAGAAGCTAGCTACATGTTTTAGATCTATTTTCATTCGTGACATGATGTTGACAATCCAGACGCAACGAGGCCGGGCGCATAATAGATAATGGCGCCCCGCTAACTACAAAGCTAGCTAACCTAGATAATACAGAATTTCAATAAGCATGATTGCCTTAAAAATATATATATATATTATGCTATTCATTTATACTATTTATCGGATGTTTGTGTAGATATACGTAACTTGCTATATTATATTGATATGGCTAGATATATTGATTTAACAGCGTCACACTGCTGTTGTAAAAGCTACCTAGCTAAGATGGCGTTGAAGGTAATGCTAACTAAATACCTAACGCATTTAACTAACCTTGCTGGACATTCTGTAGGTTGCTAACTACGGTTTATCTAGTCGTTGGCAAGCTAGGGCACTGGCTGATTCCGCTCAAATTGAAACTAATCTTTGGTGATGTTTTTGTACATATTTTTCAACATACCCAGATGGTCACTGACTGTTGTTCTTCCCCCTTGCCCCCCAGACATTGAGGCCCAGATCCTGGAGATCCAGGGCATGAAAGCTGCCCTGGTGGAGGAGGGAGGAGATCAGGGTGTGGGCCTGGACTCCACTGGATACTACGACCAGGAGATCTACGGTGGCAGTGACAGCCGCTTCGCTGGATATGTCACCTCCATCGCTGCCAATGAACAGGAGGATGTAAGTGCTGATGTCAAATCCTGTGCTGTGATGTAATGATGCATGTTTTCTTTGTAACTTTGAAAAAGTGTTGCACGTCATCTGCAACACTGACATCCTCTTCCTAGGGGTCAGACATCAGCTATTCCACTGTCAGATTTTTCATGGAGTTGACTACTCCAGTATGTCTTGTTGTCTGCGAGCTGGGAGAGTCTGCCTTAAATGGCTAGGCTTGACCAGACTCTTGTCTCGCTCTTATTTTCAGGATGATGAGGAGGACTCATCGACGAGTCTGCTTGGACAGAAGAAACCGGGATATCACGCTCCGGTGGCTATACTCAATGCAATACCACAGTCAGATGAACAGGTTAGCAACAGCAACACCATCTTCTTCTCTTCCTGTAGAATTCTACTTTGCAGTTCAAACCTGACAGAAAACCTTATACCAAATCTTAGTGCTAATGTTTGGATTTGCATAATTATCCTGCTCATATCTTATCATAGACAACATTTTTACAATGGTTACTTATCATACTCTGTAATGTTTGCCATGATGACATGTTTTGTAACATGCTGTGTTCTCTCTCCTCTCAGTACGACCCGTTCGCCGAACACCGGCCCGCGAAGATTGCAGAGCGTGAAGACGAGTACAAGGCCAGACGACGACAGATGATCATCTCTCCGGAGCGACTTGACCCCTTTGCAGACGGTAAATTTCACCCCTCCATGTTCTCTCCATAGTGTCCTCCCCTGATGTATGTTATGTGTTATACTGTAACTGCCATGATCCCATGGATGCCTTTCAAGGGTTCCAACCCACCTCTCGCTGCTTAGCCCTTCGAGCACTGTGCAACAGCTTGCTCCCCAGACTAAGACCTTCCCTTGGTAAACTTTTCTGGCCCGAGGGCGGTTGGTTGTCTTGTCACTGCGCCTTTTATCACTCATAATTTTGTCTCAATAAAATCTCTTTGCTTTTGGGGCAAACGGTCTGCATGCCAGATAAAATATTTTTTCCCCCTCGAAAAGGAGAATAGTTGTAAACAGCTGAGGATTAAGTTGTATGAAATACAACTTCTTCCAGTAAGGGGTTCCATATGTTTTAGGGAGAGGTGGTTGGACATTGTCTTGGTTACAGACTTTTGTACCTAACTACATGGGTGGCAGGTAGGCTGTGCGTGTCTCGAAGGGTTAACAGACCCATGTGGCTATCTATCTCATGTACTGATGGCGGAAAGAACTGTGTCTTAATCTAAAGAAAGGTATTGGGTAATGAGAGTAGCAAAAAATTAAATTGTGTGTGATTTGATGCTTATCCTTGGGGTGATTCACCTGCTCATGCAATGTGCCACACCCTGCTGTGCCCCTTTACCCACAAACCACCCCATCACGAGGCAGCCAGAAGCCAGAAATGTGCTGGTTGTCTGAAGCTTGGCTCCCAGTCAAGGAAAGCCCCCAGTTGGCAGAACACCTGGGTACAGAGCTGAGGCTTCCAAGTATTCCTGTGTAAAACAAGAACACTCGTAATAAGCAATGCTATTGGACCACCCCTTTATTCCATGTGGCCCTTCACTCCACTACAGTATCATTGTTCAGGCTTATGGTCAGTCACCACCACTGTTGGCTTGTCAGACTTCTAGGGGTTGGGGAAGTTCCATTAGAAGAGATCAGGACATAGTAAATTATGAGACTTACACACACAAACTGTAGTGCAGTTGTGTCATCAACACTAGTGAGTCATGGTCTCAGATTTCAAGCCCATTTAAATGGCATTTAGTTCAAGTCTGGTCAGGGATCTTAACCTGGGCTCCAGGGGTCTGAGTAATAGAGTGAATTACAGTGACGGTATAATCCTTGGCCAAAGGGCTTTGGCTCCGGTTTTGTCCTGTCCCTTACCTCTCACAGGTTAAGGAGCCGTCACTTACATATATTCACATTTCTCAAAGCCTAAACCTGGCTACGGCTTGTTTGTCTTGTCAGCTTAAACTTTTGTTAGTTAGAATGAACTGAATAGCCTGTCAGTTTAACCAAGGATGGCCTATTTCTCAGAATACAGCTTGACTAGCCATTAAGCATTTGATTAACTAAACACATACCTTGTAGATTAAGTTTACAGTATGTTTATTTACACATTGCAACAATTTATTTGCAATGCAACAATTTGCCTGTAGTGGCTGAAGCACACGTATCTGTCTGAGATTTAATTGTCCTCAATGTAGTTTGGGGGTAGGGCTGTATCAAGCCTGCATGTAGCAAGCTCTGTCATATACAAAAATGTTGTGTAAATATATTTCTATTTCACATCTTTGTAAAATAGAAACATATCAAGAAATCTGTGTGCCGCAATTCCACAGGCCCATACTAACTGTCCTTAATTTCTCTCCTACAGCAGTACTGCTTTGCCAGTCCTGTACTGCACTCTCTTAAGGGTGCAGCAACTCATCCTGTGTAGGTTATGGTGAACAGACAGAAGCGTGCGCTTGTCAGTTTTGTCAGGGTCCGCTGGCTGGTTGTCTGTCTGGGTGGGGGGGATAAAGCAGCTATTCCTCAACAAACCTCTACCCCAACATCCTTTTATTTTGTTTTCTACCAAATACTTATTTTAATAGAATTAAATTGAAACCTCAGCCATTTTATGGTGGTCTTTTGCTTTAGATTTATTTTGTAATTCATAATATATATATATATATATTTTTAAACATATTTTTCTAAAAAGGAAGTCAAGATCTACATTTACGAAGTTGGAATAGCAATCGAATCCCAAGTCAAACTAGCGGCTGTTCAGTAGCAGGTGGCCTGTTCCCTCTGAAACTAAGATATTGATCGTATGGATCTAATAGTTGCCTCCACTGCCCCTCAGGTATACGTGTAACTACATATATATATTTATATATATATACTCTCCCTGCCCTGGGTTACATAAAGTAGCTGCACATTTATCTCACAGAACATTCCTTGATTTGGTTTAAAAATCTTGACTTCATTTTCTTAAAATGCTATCAATAATTCGCAATCTGGGGGATATTTTTATTACTTTTTTCATTAGAATTTTGAGCCCCAGGAGGATTTTTCTTTTGTGACGTAAAAAAACAAATCACAGGTGGTATGCTTATGTGTGTGAGTTCCAACCCTTTTCCAAAGTGTTACTAATGGTAAAGAGACATTTTCTAGGCTTCTTTTCTGCCGGTTGAAGTCTGACTGCAGAAGGACCCTTGGCACTGAAAGTGTACGTATTCTGGAGAGCACAGCCCAGGACTCCTGCATCAGTGATGGCTTTATCCTCTCCTGTTATCTCCTTAAAAGAAAGACAAAACAACCTCAGCTGTTTCTCAATGTATCTGCCTGTTTGTTTGTTTTTAGACAGTTATGTTTGTATGTAAGGCAAGCAAGAGAGGACTGTCTGTATGTTGTGTATCTAGGGTTGTCTTGATGTGATTCAGCTTAAGGAACTAAAACAGTAAATGTTTCTAAAGAAGAAGTGAGGGCCTAGCTGAGTTGGCTGTGTTGTGCTTGCTGTCTGTGTTATGAAGCCGGGTCCTGGGGCGTGTTCTAATCGGCTGCCCTGTGTCTTGTTGGTGCTCTTTCGCGCAGGGGGCAAAACGCCGGACCCCAAGCTGCAGTCCAGGTCGTACATGGACGTCATGAAGGAGCAGCACCTGACCAAAGAGGAGGTAAGACAGACCACATAAACCCCCTTTGTGGTCCTCGAGTAGCCCCAACAGTACACATCTTTATTGTAGCCCCGGACCAGCACACATGATTCAACTTGTCAACTAATCATCAAGTCCTCAATGAGTTGAATGAGGTGTGTTTGTCCAGGGCTACAACAAAAAATGTGTACTGTTGGGGGTACTGGAGGACCAGGGTTGGGAAACACTGGTTTAGACCAAGGGCATAGCTTTGTCTTGAGGTTATGTTTCTGATTGTTGTGTGTCCATAAAGGATATAATTAAGCAATAAGGCCCAAGGGGGTGTGGTATATGGCCAATATACCACGGCTAATAGCTGTTCTTATGCAAGACGCAACGCGGAGTGCCTGGATACAGCCCTTAACCGTGGTATATTGGCTGTAACCCACAAACCCCTGAGGTGCCTTATTGCTATTATAAACTGGTTACCAATGTAATTACAATAGTAAAAAGTAATGTTTTGTCATACCTGTGGTATATGGTCTGATATACCATGGCTTTCAGACAATCAGAATTCAGGGCTCGAACCACCCAGTTTATAATAAATACAATTTTATTATGTGGTTGTATCGTTCAGTGTGGTGTGTCGTTGCCTACAATAGACTTAATTCCTACAAATCCCACGGGAAACTTTCCCCTGTTGTTTATCCTTTGGTTGGTTTTCTCACTCTCCCTGCTCTCACTCTGTGCAGAAAGAGATCCGTCAGCAGATGGCAGAGAAGGCCAAGACAGGAGACCTGAAGGCTGTCAACGGCTCTGCTGCCTCCCAGGCTGCTGCTGCTGCCGCTGCCGCCAAGCGTAAACGCCGATGGGACCAGACAGCCGAGAAACAGGACCAATCGGGAACCCCCAGCAACGCCGGCACACCTAAGAAGATGTCCAGCTGGGACCAGGCCGACCAGGCTGCTGAGGTAAAATGTATTATCTTAGTTGATCAGATCCAGTTTGTATCCTTACAATTATTTAGTTTGGTCTGGTGTTCGATCAGCAAATGATATAGAACCAAGTGTTTTTGGGGCAGTTTATTTGTCTTGCCTAGGCTTCAAATATGCCTTTTAAGATCCTAGTGGAACAAAGGAACTCAACCATGCTTCTCCAGTTTACATTTCTGTACTTGAGAACTCACTGAGCCCTTTATCCCCGGACTCCCCCCCACCACTACACATGCAGCAGACCCCAGGACACACCCCTGGCCACACCCCCTCCAACAGCCGCTGGGACGAGACCCCCGGAAGGAACAAGGGCAGCGAGACACCAGGGGCCACCCCCAGCACCCGAATGTGGGACCCCACCCCTAGCCACACCCCAGCTGGAGCAGCCACGCCAGGCAGAGGGGACACACCAGGACACACCACCCCTGGACACGGGGGAGCCACAGGCAGCGTGCGCAAAAACCGATGGGACGAGACCCCCAAGACGGAGAGAGAGACCCCTGGTCATGGTAGTGGTTGGGCCGAGACCCCCCGTACAGACCGAGGAGATGAGTCAGTGGGAGAGACCCCCACCCCGGGGGCCAGTAAAAGGAAGTCCCGTTGGGACGAGACACCCGCCAGCCAGATGGGCTCTTCCACCCCACTGATGACCCCTGGGAAGACTCCCATCGGAACCCCTGCCATGAATATGGCCACTCCCTCTCCAGGTACTGTTAATCACCTAGCCTTCCTCTCAGGCCTTTGAAACCCGTTTTCAATTCCTTAGAGGTAGACCCGTGGGGCGGCGCCCAATTGGCCCAGCGTCATCCAGGGTAGGGGAGGGAATGGCTGGCAGGGATGTAGCTCAGTTGGTAGAGCATGGCGTTTGCAACGCCAGGGTTGTGGGTTCGATTCCCACAGGGGGTATAAAAAAAATAATGTATGCACTCACTCTGGATAAGAGCGTCTGCTAAATGACTAAAATGTAATATCATATAACACTGATAACTGTTGGTGAATTGATATTATGTACTTGTTGTTAATTTACTAGTAGTATAAATGAGCAGGAATAGAAGTAGTGTAATGTCCCACTAAGTGGTGATACTAGGGTTATTGAGGCATGTTTTCCATTATGCATGTGTTTCCTATCCTGTCAGGTCACCTGATGAGCATGACCCCAGAGCAGCTGCAGGCGTGGCGTTGGGAGAGGGAGATAGACGAGAGGAACCGACCACTCACAGACGAGGAGCTGGATGCCATGTTCCCAGAGGGATACAAGGTAGAGGACACACACCCTCCCCAGCACAATGGAGAAATAGAGCTCAACTGTCACTTGTCACATCAAATGCGGTATCTATATAAAGTGATTAAATGGTCTTCGGTGAGCCAGGGTCACGTTCTGTGTCTCTGGGTTTGGTTCCCCACAGCAGCGTGTCTCTTCAGTTGAAGACATCGAGGCATTTGTCCGAGAAGGGCTCAATCCATTACAGAAATAGAGTGAAAGGAACTGAAGTAAATGAGTTAATCACTAAAGTATGATAAATGAACAATACTAACATCTCATCCTCCACCTCCCTCCACAGGTCCTTCCCCCACCAGCAGGCTACGTGCCCATCCGTACCCCAGCCCGGAAGCTGTCGGCCACCCCCACCCCCATGGGGGGCATGACAGGCTTCCATATGCAGCAGGAGGACCGTTCCATGAAGCAGATCAATGACCAGCCCAGTGGGAACCTGCCCTTCCTCAAACCAGACGACATCCAGTACTTTGACAAGCTGCTGGTTGAGGTGGATGAGTCCACTCTTAGCCCAGAGGAACAGAAGGAGCGTAAGATCATGAAACTGCTGCTGAAGATCAAGAACGGAACACCTCCCATGAGAAAGGTGAGACCAGCTGCCAACAGTCATCACAGAATTAAATGGAACTTTTCTCTGACCAAGATGGCTGCCATTATCAGAACAGTCTTGAGTTATGAAGGTTTGACATAGGCCTATCTAGTGTTACCTTTTATCTCTATAGTCTTAACTCCATCTTCCTTTTGGTGTGTAACTCTCACCACTGAAAAGTCAATGGTCCAGTCTAACCCTCTTGCGGCTCTCCTCAGGCTGCCCTGCGTCAGATAACAGACAAGGCGAGGGAGTTTGGAGCAGGGCCCCTGTTCAACCAGATCCTACCCCTGCTCATGTCTCCTACCCTGGAGGACCAGGAGCGCCACCTGCTGGTCAAGGTCATCGACCGCATCCTCTACAAGCTGGACGACCTGGTCCGCCCATACGTACACAAGGTGTGTGTGTGTGTGTGAGAGAGCGAGGAACTCGCTGACTCGGGATACAATATGTCTCCTGTGCCGAGGTTGGCCCTCACTAATTGACTATCTGTTCCCCAGATCCTGGTGGTGATTGAGCCGCTGCTGATTGATGAAGATTACTACGCCAGAGTGGAGGGTAGAGAGATCATCTCTAACTTGGCCAAGGTGAGCCCCACTTCCAGCCCTATAATGTACTCACACACCCACCACAGTTGGGTAATATGCCTGCGAATCATTCTCGCCTGTTCGACCGATCCGTGGTCAGATCAGGGCTAGTACTTCGCTATATGAAAAACCAGCACGAGAACTAGCCGATCTGACATCCAGTTCATTTCTGTTCTCACCCTGCACCCGTTGGTCACATTCCCAAAGCAAGTAGCTAATACAATTTGATCTGAAATCACATTAGAAAATGATACTTATGGTGTCTAATCAAGCAGTATCATAAACACCTATTCATCTTAGTTGATTTCTTCCATCTCTTACCCTCCCTCTCTATCTCTTTCCCTCCCTCCCTCTCTAGGCTGCCGGCCTGGCCACTATGATCTCCACTATGAGACCTGATATTGACAACATGGACGAATACGTCAGAAATACAACAGCTAGAGCTTTCGCTGTCGTAGCGTCCGCTCTGGGTATCCCCTCCCTGCTGCCCTTCCTCAAGGCTGTGTGTAAGAGCAAGAAGTCATGGCAGGCCCGCCACACGGGCATCAAGATTGTCCAGCAGATCGCCATCCTCATGGGCTGTGCCATCCTACCCCATCTGAGGAGTCTGGTGGAGATCATCGAGCATGGTGAGTAGAGGGCGACACTGCCTGACATGGTATGGGACCTGAGGGGGTAGTTTAGTTTTCTAGTAATAGTACATTTGTTATATTTAGGAGTGACTAGTGTATTTGACTCAAGCGTAGTTTAGTTTACAAGTATCTAGAGTGCGGGGGTTGTTTATTTTAAAGTGCATTTCACACGTGGTCACAATACACTTTACCAATAAGGATAAAATATGATGATCTCATACTGACCTCTACTGTGTCTGCCCCCCTCAGGTCTGGTGGATGAGCAGCAGAAGGTACGGACCATCAGTGCCCTGGCCATCGCTGCCCTGGCTGAGGCTGCCACGCCCTACGGTATCGAGTCCTTTGACTCTGTACTCAAACCCCTGTGGAAGGGTATCAGACAGCACAGAGGAAAGGTGAGGACGCATTGCTTTGTCACATGCCTGCGAATCATTCTCGCCTTTTGGACCTATCAGTGGTCAGATCAGGGCTAGTACTTCGCTAGATGGACACCAACATGAGAACTGGCAGATCTGACATCCATTTCACTTCTGTTCTCACCCTGCACCCGTTGGTTACATTCCCAAAACAGTTAACAGGTACAAACACCCGTTGGTTACATTCCCAAAACAGTTAACAGGTACAAACACCCGTTGGTTACATTCCCAAAACAGTTAACAGGTACAAACACCCGTTGGTTACATTCCCAAAACAGTTAACAGGTACAAACACCCGTTGGTTACATTCCCAAAACAGTTAACAGGTACAAACACCCGTTGGTTACATTCCCAAAACAGTTAACAGGTACAAACACCCGTTGGTTACATTCCCAAAACAGTTAACAGGTACAAACACCCGTTGGTTACATTCCCAAAACAGTTAACAGGTACAAACACCTGTTGGTTACATTCCCAAAACAGTTTACAGGTACAAACACCCGTTGGTTACATTCCCAAAACAGTTAACAGGTACAAACACCCGTTGGTTACATTCCCAAAACAGTTAACAGGTACAAACACCCGTTGGTTACATTCCCAAAACAGTTAACAGGTACAAACACCCGTTGGTTACATTCCCAAAACAGTTAACAGGTACAAACACCCGTTGGTTACATTCCCAAAACAGTTAACAGGTACAAACACCCGTTGGTTACATTCCCAAAACAGTTTACAGGTACAAACACCCGTTGGTTACATTCCCAAAACAGTTAACAGGTACAAACACCCGTTGGTTACATTCCCAAAACAGTTAACAGGTACAAACACCCGTTGGTTACATTCCCAAAACAGTTTACAGGTACAAACACCCGTTGGTTACATTCCCAAAACAGTTAACAGGTTAATACTAACATGTTTACTTGACATCACAATACAACTTCATTTCAGGATCTTGCCGTAAGCCCGGGATCTTGCCTGTATAGATACCAGTGTTTCCCCTATAGTCATTCAATCGTGGCCGCTACTCACAAAAACAAGGTGTACATTATAATAAAAACAAATATAGAAGAAAAAAAGTGTGGGATCCTTAAACGTTTTCAGTGTGAACTTAAACGTTATGTTATGTTTGAGTCACTCCGATGGCGTAAGAACACGGCATAAGCCAATTTTCTTTTAGCACAATGGCAAAACGTTTTGAATTGCAGGAAACTAGCTTTAAAACAGCAAAATCGTATGGATACAGTAACTGAGTTAACTCTTACCTCTCCCCTCTTGTGTCCAGGGTCTGGCTGCGTTCCTGAAGGCCATTGGCTACCTGATCCCTCTGATGGATGCTGAGTATGCTAACTACTACACCAGAGAGGTCATGTTGATCCTCATCAGAGAGTTCCAGTCCCCTGACGAGGAGATGAAGAAGATCGTGCTCAAGGTGAGGGAGCCTGTGTGTGTGTGTACGAGACTAATTATCGCCTGTTGGACCTGTCAGTGGTCAGATCAGGGCTAGTACTTCGCTAGATGGACACCAACATGAGAACTAGCAGATCTGACATCCAGTTAATTTCTGTTCTCACCCTGCACCCGTTCGTTACATTTCCATAATGAAAATAAGTTGTAGATGCTAGCTATTACACTTAAATCTGAATTGGTGTTTGTGTGCCCTGTTTCTAACCCCCATTGTTCCCTCTCTCTTCCAGGTGGTGAAACAGTGCTGTGGTACTGACGGTGTGGAGGCCAACTACATCAAGACAGAGATCCTGCCCCCTTTCTTCAAGCACTTCTGGCAACACAGGATGGCTCTGGACAGACGCAACTACAGACAGGTACGTACAGACGTAGCTCAAACGGGAACGACTCCAAGCATATCCCTTATATTCAATGGGTTGATTACAGACCAATAGTAAATGTTTTACCAAGCATAAATCAGTAGAAGTCTTAATTTATGACAAGAAAAATAAACATATTTTAGCCTCAATGGGGCAAACTGGTAAAATACAAACAAATGCAATTTCTGACTAACATTAAAATCCGGTCATACTTAATTCATGACTGGTGTGTTTTGGGTGATGTCTGTGAACTAACCTCTTCCCTGTATGTCTGCCCATCCTCAAGCTGGTGGACACAACAGTGGAGCTGGCCAACAAGGTGGGTGCGGCAGAGATAATCTCTCGTATCGTGGATGACCTGAAGGACGAGGCAGAGCAATACAGGAAGATGGTGATGGAGACCATAGAGAAGATCATGGGGAACCTGGGAGCTGCTGACATCGACCACAAGCTGGAGGAGCAGCTGATCGACGGCATACTGTACGCCTTCCAGGAACAGACCACGGAGGTGAGACCACGGGGTGGAGACCACGGGGTGGAGACCACGGGGTGGAGACCACGGGGTGGAGACCACGGGGGGGAGACCACGGGGGGGAGACCACGGGGGGGAGACCAGGGGCATGTTCAGCAAAGAACAATGTTGTGGAACATTGAGATAGAAGTGGGTTATGTAGAATAAGGAATCATGTCGGCTCATGACATCTCTATCTACAACGTTCCAGGACCCGATTTCCCCATAGCGATGGAACTTAGGCTTACGAGTGTTTTAAACAATGCATCTTTTCTACAATGGCCTAAGATGTAACATGCATTTCCCAAAACACTACGCAGAGAGAACAGTTGCTAAGTGTGTCGGAGTATGTGTCGATATTGATAGGAATGGAAGAAAGGCAGTGCTGTTCTCGGATCAGCTTTCTCAGTTAAAATCTTACCTTAACATTATAATTATTTCACAATACTGACAATGGATCAGCACCTAGAGAGATATTATCACCTACGGCTGCAAATATTAAGGTGGCTTATTATAATGCTTACCCAATACAAATTGGCACATGTTAGGCTACACATCATGAAATATATTCACACAAATTACAGACAATCTTGTCTGCAAGTAGCAAAATAGAACTCAATTGATTGAACATGAAATGTATTTCAATATGATTGACAGATCTATAGCCTACTGTTTATTTTAATGCAGTCATCTTTTTATAGACCATGTCACTTGTTTGTATCAATTGCGAAGACATTGGCAACTTTGTATTTGTAGGCAACTTTGTTCTGATGTTACCAGCGTTCAGAGACTGATAAACAATGTGATTCTATGTTTAGCGGAGATCTTCTGTGTATGAAGTGACATGGGAAGGCAGAAAGTATCGAACGACGCACTTAGCTGTTCTACAAGGGGTGTGAGGCAGGTGTTAGATTGCGAGCGTTTTCAAGTGCAACGTTAATTACGATGGTTTTGGGAAACAGCTCCGTGATTTAACGATGCTCCTACGATGGTTCTAACGATTAACTTAGCCTTAAGATGCTTTTGGGAAACCTACTGAAGCTGGCCCAGGGTATAACGTTGGGAAAAGCCTGTGATGAAACAAGTTATCCATGTCTGAACAGCAGTGTGGATTTATGGTAATCTGAGGCTTGATGGGAGATTCATATTGATTTGAATGGATAACTGTGCCTTGTTCCCTTTAAACCAGAGCCCTTTGGGCCTTGGTCAAATGTAGTGCGCTATATAGGGAATAAGATGACATTTTGGATGCAGACACTCTCAGTCCATCATTAGCCTACCTGTGTAGAATATGACTGACTGTAGGAGTTGACCTCTGACCCCTGCAGGACTCTGTGATGCTGAATGGGTTTGGCACGGTGGTGAATGCCCTGGGGAAGAGGGTGAAGCCCTACCTGCCTCAGATCTGTGGTACGGTGCTGTGGCGTCTCAACAACAAGTCCGCCAAGGTCCGCCAGCAGGCTGCTGACCTCATCTCCCGTACCGCCGTGGTCATGAAGACCTGCCAGGAGGTTAGTCTTCCCAACACACACTTTACGCACGCACATACACACACACACCCGACACACTCGTATTGCACATATACACTCCCTCTCTCTCTCTCATACTCGCACACTCACGCACTCACTGAAATACTCACTCACTGCAATGATATCACCTTCACTGACTGAGTCATATAGAGAGTTTCCCTTTCCTTTCTAAACCTCTTTCTCTCCCCACATCTCCCCCCTCCTCTCAACAGGAGAAGCTGATTCCCTTTCTAAACCTCTCTCTCCCCCCTCAACAGGAGAAGCTGATTCCCTTTCTAAACCTCTCTCTCCCCCCTCCCCTCAACAGGAGAAGCTGATTTCCTTTCTAAACCTCTCTCTCTCCCCTCAACAGGAGAAGCTGATTTCCTTTCTAACCTCTCTCTCGCTCTTCCCCCTCTCCTCCACAGGAAAAGCTGATGGGTCACCTGGGAGTTGTGTTATACGAGTATCTAGGAGAAGAGTATCCTGAAGTACTGGGAAGCATCCTTGGTGCTCTCAAGGCCATCGTCAACGTCATTGGTGCGTAACCGTTACCCTCTCACTACTACAACTCCCTGTCTTCTGACCAATAGCATGTTGACACTAAGGTTGATGACCCTTTGGCCCTGGGTCACATGTCTGTGAATCATTCTCGCCTGTTCGACCGATCCTTGGTCAGATCAGGGCTAGTACTTTGCTAGATGGACACCAACATGAGAACTGGCAGATCTGACATCCAGTTCATTTCTGCTCTCGCCCTGCACCCACTGGTTACAAATGAAAATACATTAGTTTTATTTTCCAAAATGCTATCCAATCTCTGTCTTATAGCTCCATACACTCTCAGCCCACTAATTTAGCCCTCTCACTCCCTGAGACGGGCTGAAATGTTTTGAGAAAGCGCTCCAGTGGGTAGAGAAATGCCTGTGAATGAATTGTGTTAGTTGAGTTCAGTGAAGAACAAGGATTGGGCTGGTTTAACAGCAGTAACGCTATAAGCGTGGTTATGATTAAGTTATGGTAGTAGATGTGTTAAGACTTGGTGATATGCATCCAGAGAGCTGATTGGTTGTCTGTCCTGTCACTCAGGCATGCACAAGATGACTCCACCAATCAAAGACCTGCTGCCTCGGCTGACGCCCATCCTGAAGAACAGACATGAGAAGGTGCAGGAGAACTGTATTGACCTGGTTGGCAGGATTGCTGACAGGTACGTCTGTAGCAAAGCAATCACACACACACACACACTCTGAAAGATTGGACTACATTAGTGTGAATCTGTGTCAATCTTTGACTCACACATTCACTAGTATATTCCAATATTTGACTCCTAAGCATATGTGGAAACATTTGATAAAATAGTAGATGTTTCATCAACCATGTTGTAATTGTGTGTGTAGGGGTGCTGAGTACGTGTCTGCCAGGGAGTGGATGCGTATCTGCTTTGAGCTGCTGGAGCTCCTCAAGGCCCACAAAAAGGCCATCCGCAGAGCCACCGTCAACACCTTCGGATACATCGCCAAGGCTATCGGGTGAGTCCTGTCTCTGGCTACTGCCCAATACTTCTCTCAAGAGTTGTTGATCTCCATTAGTGCACATTTATTAGGGTTTATGTTTAGGAGAGTGTATGGTTTTCTGAGCATCCATGAAAAATGTTGGTTCAATAAAGTTGTATTATAATGATGCTTGGTGATACTTCACCTGTTACTGTCATGGTAACCAGTATATATTTAGCCTATCATTGACCTATTGACCTCTCCACCCCTCCAGACCCCATGATGTGCTGGCCACACTACTTAACAACCTGAAGGTTCAGGAACGGCAGAACAGAGTGTGTACCACCGTAGCCATCGCCATCGTGGCTGAGACCTGTTCTCCCTTCACCGTGCTCCCCGCCCTCATGAACGAGTACCGCGTGCCCGAGCTCAACGTGCAGAACGGCGTGCTCAAGTCCCTGTCCTTCCTGTTTGAGTACATCGGGGAGATGGGCAAGGACTACATCTACGCTGTCACGCCCCTGCTGGAGGACGCGCTGATGGACAGGTGAGAGGACCAAACATTGGAACTAACAATCAGTCTGGTGGGCTGACTAAAGTCACAGTAACGCTGTAGTCACTAAACCAAAAACATAACATTTCCCAAGTATTGTAAATGCATCGAGCTACATGGCCACACTATCCTGACCAAGATCAGTACTTAGCCATTGGTGCTGCTGTCCGTAACAGTTAGGGGTCACTCGGTTGAATGTGCTGTAATATAACTGCGAACCATTCTTGCCTGTTGGACCGGTCCGTGGTCAGATCAGGGCTAGTACTTCACTAGATGGACACCAACATGAGAACTAGCAGATCTGACATTGTTAATTTCTGTTCTCACCCTGCACCTGTTGGTTACAAAGGAAAAGTCAAGTGTCATTCATTGTCATTGTGGATTTTCTCCACAGAATTAGAATATATAGTAGACCCCACCTGCTTCTTTGCACCTTTTGACTGGCCCCATGGTAACCCTGGTTCTCCTCTCTCTCTTCCTTGCAGAGACCTGGTCCACAGACAGACTGCCAGTGCCGTGGTGCAACACATGTCCCTGGGCGTCTACGGCTTCGGCTGTGAGGACTCCCTTAACCACTTGTTGAACTACGTGTGGCCCAACGTGTTTGAGACGTCGCCCCATGTGATCCAGGCTGTCATGGGGGCCCTGGAGGGCCTCAGGGTGGCAATCGGCCCCTGCCGCATGCTGCAGTATTGCCTGCAGGTAAACCTGACTGCTACTACATCACTGATCTCCTTGCTCTGACAGACAGGTAGCAGATTGACTACTATCTGCTACTAGATAGAATGACTAGGCTCATTCTAGAATAGCTGAGTGTTGAGAATTGACATAAAATGTCCAGAAAGTGATGCAAATTTGGTAAGTTATCACTATCAACAGCAACATACCTTTATGAACTCCATGAACAAGCTGCGGTGGATACACTATCTATAAAAAAGTATGTGGACACCCCTTCAAGATTGTGGATTTGGCTATTTAAGCCACACCCGTTGCTGACCGGTGTATAAAATTGGGCACACAGCCATGCAATCGCAATAGACAAATATTAGCAGTAGAATGGCCTTACTGAAGAGCTCTGTGACTTTCAACGTGGCACTGTCATAGGCATCCTTTCCAACAAGTCAGTTCATCAAATTTCTGCACTGCTAGAGCTGCCCCAGTCAACTGGAAGTGCTGTTATTGTGAAGTGTAAACGTCTAGGAGCAACAACGGCTCAGCCGCAAAGTGGTAGGCCATACAAGCTCACAGAACGGTATCGCCGAGTGCTGAAGTGCATAGCACGTAAAAATAATCTGTCCTCAGTTGCAACACTCACTACCAAGTTCCAAACTGCCTCTGGAAGCAAAATCAGCACAATAACTGTTTGTCGGGAGATTCATGAAATGGGTTTCCATGGCCAAGCTGCCGCAACACAAGCCTAAAATCACCATGTGCAATGCCAAGCGTCGGCTGGAGTGGTGTAAATGCCGCCATTGGACTCTGGAGCAGTGGAAACGCGTTCTCTGGCGTGATGAATCAAGGTTCACCATCTGGCAGTCCGACGGACGAATCTGGTTTGGCAGATGCCAGGAGAATGCTACCTGCCCGAATGCATAGTGCCAACTGTAAAGTTTGGAATAATGGTCTGGGGCTGTTTTTCATGGTTCGGGCTAGGCCCCTTAGTTCCAGTGAAGGGAAATCTTAACGCTACAGCATACAATGACGTTCTAGACGATTCTGTGCTTGCAACAGTTTGGGGAAGGCCCTTTCCTGTTTCAGCATGACAATGCCCCTGTGCACAAAGCGAGGTCCATACAGCAATGGTTTGTCGAGATCGGTGTGGAAGAACTTGACTGGCCTGCACAGAGCCCTGACCTCAACCCCATCGAACACCTTTGGGATGAATTGGAACATCGACTGCGAGCCAGGCCTAATCGCCCAACATCAGTGCCTGACCTCACTAATGCTCTTGTGGCTGAATGGAAGCAAGTCCACGCAGCAATGTTCCAACATCTAGTGGAAAGCCTTCCCAGAAGAGTGGAGGCTGTTATAGCAGCAAAGGGGGGACCAACTCCATATTAATGCCCATGATTTTGGAATGAGATGTTCGACGAGCAGTTGTCCACGTACTTTTGGTCATGTAGTGTATTTAGTAAAAGCAACAAACCTAGTAGCAAGGGTGGGTAGGGGTGGAAAACATGGTTTCCTGGGGGGGGGAACATGTTGGCTGGGTAGCTTTGGGGGAATGGGATGGGATGGGAGGTTGGGGGTGGAGACATGTTGGCTGGGTGGGGTTGGGGGGATGGGAGGTTGGGGGTGGAGGACCACTTTTTTTTGTTTTATTTTCCTGTTAATTATTAAACTCTGTATATATTTCTTACTGTTTTTTGTTGTTGAGTGGCAGCCTACGGGTACATGTTTTATAAACAAAAAATGTAAATGGATAATGTACCTGTAACCCCCTCAACCAAAAATTACTAAACAAATAAACTATAATGATAGTAGCACTGTAAGTGCAGCCATTGAGTTGATAATGCTCTCTAACCCTGTTTCCTCTCTAGGGTCTCTTCCACCCAGCCAGGAAGGTCCGAGACGTCTACTGGAAGATCTACAACTCTATCTACATCGGTTCCCAGGATGCTCTGATCGCTCACTACCCCCACGTCTACAACGACGAGAAGAACCCTTACCTCCGCTATGAGCTGGAGTACTTCCTGTGATTCTGCTCTCTTTTCTCTCTCTGTTCACGCTCTCTCTTTCTCTCTCTGTTGACGCTCTCTCTCTGTTGACGCTCTCTCTGTTCACGCTCTCTCTTTCTCTCTGTTCACGCTCTCTCTTTCTCTCTGTTCATGCTCTCTTTATCTCTCTGTTCACGCTCTTTCTCTGTTCACTCTCTATCTCTCTGTTCACTCTCTCTCTGCCGATCTCCTCCCCTTTCCCTCTCCTCTCTTTCAGCTATCTCTTCTCTCTGTCCACTCTTCGTCCTATCTCTCTTGGTGTATAGATAGGACTTGGTCCATTTTTTATTATTATTTAGCGCCTCTGTCTTTGTAGTGGGTGTGTCCAACAAGATTCATTTTTAATCAAATAAAAACTTTGATTAGGGAGAAAAAAATATGAAACTGAACAATTTCTTAGACCTTGTATGTTTTGTTTATTTTATAATAATCATTTCCATAAGGAATGACAGACATACAGTGAAGTGCAGGATCTAAGTTAGCCATGTTAACGAATGGTGAGTTTTGAAGCTCTTTAAAATAGTCATGGTTTCTGTGTACCGGCATCTGTAACGGCCGTTCCTTCTCAATCCTCTGCTCACCTATCAGTGATCACCCCTCTGTTCTTATCAGAATGTTGCTTTATTTGACTAAATAAACGTTTGTGTATAAAATTAACTTTGTCCACCTGTGCTTTATTTTGAGTTGGTCAAAATAAAGCATGAGACATATCTTCTCATAGGAGTGATAATATAATATGCTAAATGAAAGCAGTCTATGGAAGGTACCATCTTTCCCCCTATAGCTGGAAGCTTAGGGGCAGAATAACTCCTTGGTGGAATATGTGGGAACATACCAGCATTCTCCAGATTCCAATTCCATACGTATCACATTTGCCACCTTTCTTGTTTCATGTCACAACCTGATGTTCCACAGGCACTAGGCTTACATTAATGAATGTTTTTACTGCAGTTAAATGTACACAAGCAGGCGTAGAATATCAACCACACCAAATGAGCTATGTTTCGGCAGGTAGCCTAGAGGTTAAGAGTGTTGGGCCAGCGATTCGGTCGCTGGTTCGAATCACCACGGCGACTAGGTGAAAAATATATCTGTGCCCTTGAGCAAGGCACTGAACCCTAGTTTCTCCTGTACGTCTCTGGATAAGTGTACTAAATGACTGAAATGTATATTTCACCCAGAAATGCCACTACATTATAGTTCAAAGCCTACCGCTTGTTCAGAAATATTAATAAAAGGAAACCAACCCCTTTTGTTCCATTATCAGGTCTGCCATCCTGCTGAGACAAACAGTAGACCAAGTTGAAGGAGCGCTCTGGGTAGCTAGCCCTGTGCTGTTGACATGGAAATGAATGCTTACTGTGCATTCTTCCATAAAGTTGGCTGTATGTTGGTTCTGGGGAAGAACGTGTGCAGGTGTGTTTGGGCTAGAGACAGTGGGGTGGGAGAGAACCAAGGGCAAGGCCCTTATTGGGCTGAAACTATATTATTTATTAGTACTAAAAAGCACTTTAAATTGAGAACTTCTATAGAACATGCTTTTTAGTTCAGGACTAGGCTTAATCTGTATCCACGAAATAGGCCCTATATGTCTATGTGGGATACCCTCCGGCTTCCTTGGGTTCACGCCAGAGGAGCTTACTCATGTATCTAAACAGAAGTGATGTCCTAAAATACGCCACTTTGATACAGCTATGACTGGAAGTGACTTTTTCCTAGCAGGTTAGGAGAATTAGGTTAAGGTTAGGAAAAGGGTTAGGGTTGTGGAAATGCTCTCCTAACCTGCTAGGAAAAGTCTCGTAGCTGTATCAGAGTGACATGTTTTTAGGGAGTCCCGTAAACAAAACTCCCACAGATCTTAAGGTCTGATGATGTAATTCAATAAGGCGCAAACTTTCCTTCATATACAGGTCAGTGTTACATAGGCTACTTAGTCAGCTTATTCAGCAGCATACCACCCTGAATCCCACTGTTAGCTTGCCTCTGAAGCTAAGCAGGGTTGGTCCCTGGATGGGAAACCAGATACTGCTGAAAGTGTTTGAGGGCCAGTAGGAGGCTCATTCCTCTGGTCCCAAAAAAATATCCCAATGCCCCAGGGCAGTGATTGGGGTCATTGCTCTGTGTAAGGTGCCGTCTTTCGGATGGAACGTTAAACGGGTGTCCTGACTAAGATCCCATGGCACTTACCGTAACAGTAGGGGGCGTTGACCCCTGTGTCCTGGCTAAATTCCCAATCGGGCCCTCATACCATCATGGCCTCCTAATCATCCCTAGCTTCCTATTGGCTCATTCATCCCTTTTCTCCCCAGGTCGTTGCTGTAAATGAGAACATGTCTCAGTCAACTTACCTGGTAAAATAAGGGTTAAAAATGTAAAAAGGCTACTCGTCACAGCAGGTTGGTGGCACCTTAATTGTGGAGGATGGGCATGTGGTAATGGCTGGAGTGGAATAGTATCAGATACAGCAAACACATGGTTTCCAGGTGTTTGCTGCCATTCCATTTGCTCCATTCCATTACTATAAGTCATACTCCCCTCAGGAGCCTCCACTGCTACTCATAGTTTGGGTTAATGCCAGTGGAGCGAGGTAGTCGACCTAGACCTGTCGCCATGCTGTGCCTTCATGCCACTAAAAGCCTGGCAAACATGGCTATAGTCAACCAATTGTAATCACCAAGGAGGAGCGCCAACACTTCATGAAGACCATTTCATAGAGTGCGGTCCTTGAACTGGGAGACCAGCGCCCAGAGTGACCCAGGTAGTTTCCCATCCAACCCTGATAAGAGGAACTCAGAGCTCAGCTCTCTTCTCTCTCTCTCTCTCTCGCTCTCACACACACACACACACACACACAAACACGCACAGTCTTGTACAGCTAACCTTGTGGGGACACACAATTCAGTCCCATTCAAAATCTTATTTTCACTAACGCTAAACCTAACCCTAACCCGTACTCTTACCCTAACCTTAACCCAAAAACCTAATCTTAACCCTAAACCTAACTCTAGCTCCTAACCTTAACCCTTAACGTAATTCTAACACTAATTCTAACCTTAACCCTAAACCCTCTAGAAATAGCATTTAACCTTGTGGGGACTAACAAAATGTCCCCAGTTGGTCAAATTTTTGTTAGTTTACTATTCTTGTGGGGACTTCTGGTCATGTCCACACACACACACACACACACACACCGTCCTCAAGAGTGTCAGAATATATCAGAGAGCTGAGCGAGCAATGAACATGGTGGAGTCTGTCTGCCTGGAAACTGGGTCAAATGCAGCGCATGCATGGGCCTCTACTGCTCCTACGGCGTATAGTGTATACAGTTGAAGTCGGAAGTTTACATACACAGGTTGGAGTCATTAAAACTCGTTTTTCAACCACTCCACAAATGTCTTGTTAACAAACTATAGTTTTGGCAAGTCGGTTAGGACATCTACTTTGTGCATGACACAAGTAATTTTTCCAACAATTGTTTACAGACAGATTATTTCACTTATAATTTACTGTATCACAATTCCAGTGGGTCAGAAGTTTACATACACTAAGTTGACTGTGCCTTTAAACAGCTTGGAAAATTCCAGAAAATGTCATGGCTTTACAAGCTTCTGATAGGCTAATTGACATCATTTGAGTCAATTGGAGGTGTACCTGTGGATGTTTTTCAAGGCCTACCTTCAAACTCAGTGCCTCTTCGCTTGACATCATGGACAAATCAAAAGAAATCAGCCAAGACCTCAGAAAAAAAATTGTAGACCTCCACAAGTCTGGTTCATCCTTGGGAAAAATTTCCAAACGCCTGAAGGTACCACGTTCATCTGTACAAACGATAGTACGCAAGTATAAACACCATAGGACCACGCAGCCGTCATTCCGCTTAGGAAGGAGACGCATTCTGTCTCCTAGAGATTAACGTACTTTGGTGCGAAAAGTGCAAATCAATCCCAGAACAACAGCAAAGGACCTTGTGAAGATGCTGGAGGAAACAGGTACAAAAGTATCTATATCCACAGTAAAACGAGTCCTATATCGACATATGTGGTCCTCTGTAGCTCAATTGGTAGAGCATGGCGCTTGTAACGCCAGGGTAGTGGGTTCGATCCCCGGGACCACCCATACGTAAAAATTTATGCGCACATGACTGTAAGTCGCTTTGGATAAAAGCGTCTGCTAAATGGCATATTATTATTTTATTATTATGACATAACCTGAAAGGCCGCTCAGCAAGGAAGAAGCCACTGCTCCAAAACCGCCATAAAAAAGTCAGACTATGGTTTGCAACTGCACATGGGGACAAAGATCGTACTTTTTGGAGAAATGTCCTCTGGTCTGATGAAACAAAAATAGAACTGTTTGGCCATAATGACCATCGTTATGTTTGGAGGAAAAAGGGGGACGCTTGCAAGCCGAAGAACACCATCCCAACCGTGAAGCACGGGGGTGGCAGCATCATGCTGTGGGGGTGCTTTGCTGCAGGAGGGACTGGTGCACTTCACAAAATAGATGGCATCATGAGGAAGGAAAATGATGTGGATATATTGAAGCAACATCTCAAGACATCATTCAGGAAGTTAAAGCTTGGTCGCAATTGGGTCTTCCAAATGGACAATGACCCCAAGCATACTTCCAAAGTTGTGACAAAATGGCTTAAGGACAACAAAGTCAATGTATTGGAGTGGCCATCACAAAGCCCTGACCTCAATCCTATAGAAAATGTGTGGGCAGAACCGAAAAAGCGTGTGCGATCAAGGAGGCCTACAAACCTGACTCAGTTACACCAGCTCTGTCAGGAGGAATGGGCCAAAATTCACCCAAGGTATTGTGGGAAGCTTGTGGAAGGCTACCCGAAACATTTGACCCAAGTTAAACAATTTAAAGGCAATGCTACCAAATACTAATTGAGTGTATGTAAACTTCTGACCCAGTGGTAATGTGATGAAAGAAATAAAAGCTGAAATAAATCATTCTCTCTACTATTATTCTGACATTTCACATTCTTAAAATAAAGTGGTGATCCTAACTGACCTAAGACAGGGAATTTTTATTAGGATTAAATGTCAGGAATTTTTTAAAACTTAGTTTAAATGTATTTTGCTAAGGTGTATGTAAACTTCCGACTTCAACTGTATATGTGAGTGGTGGGGGAGGGTTTCCATTGTAGGGAGGTAGTAGGGGGTTGAGAAAGAAGCCCTGGAGCGAGTGTAGTCATACTGTGGTGTTGGCTGCTGGAATCTGGGATCTTTCTGAATGGGAAGGCTGGGCTGAGCCACTGAGCTGCAGACTAACTGGCCTTCCATTCAGCCATATGGCTGTGACCTCTGCTTGCCCTTATCAACAGAGACAGGGAGGCAGGCAGACACTATCTCATACAGACAGTAGAATGCAGACAGAAATGGGAATTTAGGGAGAAAAATACACTGAGTGTACAAAACATTAAGGACAGCTTCCTAATATTGAGTTGCACCCACGGCTTTTGCCCTCGGAACAGCCCTCAATTCGTCGGGGCATGGACTCTATAAGGTGTCGAAAGCGTTCTACAGGGATGCTGGCCCATGCTGACTCCAATGCTTCCCACAGTTGTGTCAAGTTGGCTGGATGTCCTTTGGGTGGGGTGGACCATTCTTGATACATGCAGGAAACTGTTGAGCGTGAAAAAC